CTTGATGACACTCCTTATAGCGCTACTCGCACCATGCCTTTTGTGTAAACTATTTTATTTATTCTACTATGCGTTCTTTTCTCACCCATCTAAAGATTTATTGTCCTTCTTCTAAACTTCCATTTACGTTACGTCCAAAAAAGGTAAGTATGTTGTCTACAATTTATTCCAAATACGTCCAGAAGAAAAATTAACATCGTCTAATTTTAGCGTAAAAGCTTTAATAGCTTACGTATACTTTTGCCTAAAATGGACGGTAAAAGAAAAAATGCATACGAGTGGTTTACTTTGAAGGAAACAAGCGTACTTAAACGATTAGCGCTAATTTTTTTAATATGTATATATATAAGCTTGGCAATCAATCATTTCCTCTCAGAACTATAAGTTTTTTCTTTCTAAAAAATGTCTAATAGCGATACACTTACTGGTTGGGCTTCTGTTGGCAAGGGCAAGCCACTTGTACAAATGCAATTCCCAATGAAGACTTGGGATGAAAATACTGTCGAGATGGACATCACTCACTGTGGTGTCTGTGGTAGTGATATTCACACTATTGGTATGCATATAAATAATGCGCTCTATAAATCAATGACTGATTCTGTTATTCACAGACTCTGGCTGGGGACCTACTGACTATCCAATTGTTGTTGGCCATGAGATTACTGGCGTTGTCACAAGAGTAGGAAAGAACGTGACAAGAGTCAAGGTTGGTGATCGTGCTGGTATGGGTGCTATGTGTGGTGCATGTGGACAATGCCACCGTTGCAGCCAAGGAGCTGAAAACACTTGTTTGAAAGGAGGAATCGGTACCTATAACTCTCACTGGCCAACGGGTGAAAAGACTTGCGGTGGGTATGCTGACAAGTGGCGTGGCGATCAAATGTTGGTTTGCAAGATCCCTGATAATGTTTCCAACGAAAATGCTGCTAGTTTCTTGTGTGGAGGTGTAACAACCTATGCTCCCCTCAAACGATGGAAGGTCGGTCCTGGTTCTACCTTGGGTGTTTTGGGCATTGGTGGTCTTGGTCACTTTGCAGTCATGTTTGGTAAAGCATTAGGCGCTAACGTGATTGCTTTGTCATCCAGCAACAGAAAGCGCGATGATGCCATTAAACTCGGATGTGATGACTATGTTGTCACAAGCAATGCTGAAGAAATGGCAAAGTATGCAAACAAGTTGACACATATCATCTGTACTGGTGTAGGAGAAGACTTCAAATGGGAGACTTACTTTAACCTCTTGCTTCCTGATGGTGTCTTTATTAATGTAAACGCTCCTGAATTCCAATACCCACCCGTTCCCGTCTTCCCTCAACTCATGAAGCAACTTGTTGTTACTGGCTCTTTAGTTGGAGGTACCAAAGATTTGGATGATATGCTTCAATTGATCTCCGAAAAGAATCTCAAGGCTTGGTACAAGAAATATCCAATGTCAGAAGTTAACAAAGCCATTGAAGACTTTAGAGCTGGATTACCTAGATTTAGATTTGTATTAGAAAACTAGGACAGTTGATGTTTTTATGATAATAAACGTCTTTGTAAATATTGCTTAATGTATATGTCCCGTTGCTCGCTAAAAGGGTTTTCTTGGAGTGCAAAAAGAGCAACATTATGTACGATATTGTACGAATTAGTGTTATACAATGTAACAACGTTCGTTTGCGGATGTAACATATAGTTGCTACAGACAATATATAGAAAGGTTCTTCATCCACTCTTTTTCACTCTTATAAACAAGTAATAAAAAAAAAAAAGGTAACGTACCCTCTCTTTCTTTTTTTTTATATTCTATACATAATGGGAAGCTGCTTCGCAAAGCCATGGCTCACTGAGTGTGCAAATAAAAACAGAAACAAAGATAAATACCTTAGTACAGCAATGGCAGAATCAGGACAAGCATCGTGTATTAGCCGCTCAGAAGACATAACCATACCCACCCAAAGAGAATTTCATCAGATCGAGGCTTCAACTTATTGGTTGCCTAAGGATGACGAAGAACAGATGAGACTTACAGGCGTAAGATACCATAGTGAATAACAGGCCATATATGTTTTCTAACCCCAGCATAGCAACATTTTGCGTTAAAGGAAATTTTCGGAGGGTAGCATTGAATAAAAAGAAATGTATTCTGTGATACTTACAATCTTACCATAGAAACGTGCTACAAAGCGTAACTGAAATTCTAGATCTTAAGCAAGGGCTATCTATACTAGATGTAGGGTGTGGCTCAGGTGTATGGGTCATGGTAAGAAAAGAAAGAGAATGGAACCAAGGCACGGCTTACCGTGACTAACATTATCTAAAGGATATGATTAATGACTATCCAGACTGTAATTATGACGGCTGTGATATGGTGAACATTGTTGCTCAAAAGCCTACACCCAAACAATTTACTTTCAGGATTGCAAATGTACTAGAGGGGCTGCCATATCCGGACAACACTTTTGACCTTGTTCATCTAAGGCTACTTGTCTTGGCACTACGCTATGACGAATGGCCAAGTGTGATCAAAGAGTTACTACGCGTTACTAAGCCAGGAGGTCTCATACAGATTATGGAGCCAGACTATAGAGTAACAGAGCATGACGACGTCTTTTGTAAGGTAGTGTCAGCGTGTAAGTACATCGTGAAACGAAGAGACGATCGTATCATTTATAAATTTTTTTCATAGTAATTACTATCTGTGAAGCAAAAGGTCAAAACCCTCGAATCGGCATTGAATTAGAAAGGCTACTGAGAGAGGCTGGCAACACCAATATTATAGAGACAAAATCTGCATCTGTTGATACAAGTAAAATGTTTATAACACCTAATGAAAATGTGGAAAGGTAGCTTACTGACTATTGTTTCTTTAGCCACTGGCAGCAGTGCGGCCAAAAAAATCGCTTGGAGTTGGATGGAAGGTGTAAAGGGGACAATGAAGCTCGCTGCTCCAGCGTTGGGACTCAAGGACGAGAAAGACCAACAAAAGTTCCTAAAAGAATTTAAGCATTGCATGGAAACAAAGTGTGGATGTCTCCATATGGAAGCGGTTGTAGCTCAAAAATTATAGTACAAAAACAATAAAGTTCTTCCTGGTGAACAGAATGTGTATTTGAAACATCGAGAGAGAAAGAGTAGGTATGCGGGGTATCTGCAAGATAATTTAATAAACAACCGTCACAACAAGACACCCATTTTGATCATGAGTACGCTCCAATTGCAGTGAACAAAAAAAAACTCTTTTAAAAAGCGTCACTCAAAGTTGTAAAACAGAAAAGGGAAAATAAAAAATAGAGTGAACAGAATGGAGAAAGACAAACCGCAAGTAAAAGTTTTCCCTGTTTATATTTTTTTTATTTTTATTTACTGACCTTTATAAAAAAGTCTAGTGTAAACTCACCCACTTCTTCTACATCCTCAGTTAATGAAGAACAGATAATCACTGAACTCACTTTGGCTGGAATAAAAGTACTCATGGTCCGAAAGAAGGATCAGATTGTGTATAAATTACCAGACAATGTTCAAGTATCTTCTATAAGTGAAGAACAACGAAAAAGATTGATGGAAGAAATTCAATCTCTTCATGCCGCCACTATGCTTGCAGCAGCACAACAACAACAACAAGTAAATATGCCAATGGATAATAATAAACCAATTGCACCCAAGACAGATGCCCTTGTACTCAATACACCTCCACAACCTACACCAGCAGAAGCAGATGCTATCAAGGAGACTGCACGAAAGTTAAGAGAGGAACTAGAACAGCAGCAACAGCTGATGCTCTTACAGCAAAGGCTCCAACAGCAAGGGATGAAACGAAGTGGTATGTATGAGGCCACCTCTCCACCTGATAGTAGCAAAGGCCCTCGGAAATATATCAAAACTGGGAAATATTCAAAAAAGAAGCAGCTGCAGGGACTTTTGCCTCAATCTCCTCAACATCAACAGCAGCCTAATCTGTTTAATATCCAATCCGTGAGTGCAGATAACAGTAATAATAATAGTGCTACAACCTCTGCTGCATCAACACCTGTTGCCTCCACAACTGACGTCTCTACAAGCTCCTTTGGAGTCCCAACACCGCTTCAGACACAACCACAACAACTACCAGTACTTCAACAACCACTACCACAGCAACAACAACAGCCTGTTCAGCTTCAACAGACACAAAAACCCATTGCCGCGGCAAAACAGCAAGATATTAGAAAATTTCCTCAAACACTTCCTGATTCTATACTGTCTAAACGTCTACCGGAAGAAGAGTTTCAACACCGTGAGATTAAGAGAAGGTAATGTCTTTATTTTTTCCTTGAAGAGAGTAGCTAATATCTATCAGATTCCTCGACACTCTCTCAAAAGATCACGTGGCTGTAACTAACCCAGATTACAAAACGCCATTCAAATCTCTGGAGGACGCAATCAATCGATTATTACCTTACCACATTTATCATTATCCCAAGACGGATCTAGACGCAAATAGGATATCGGTTGAACTTCAGGATAGTGCCATCCTGGATATATTTAAATGCCAATCCGACTTGTTTGAAAAGCATAAAAAGATGCAAGAAAAGTTGGAAAAGGTAAAAAAAAAAAAAGCAAAGAGAGTCCTTAACATTCAATATTAATCAAACATAGAGTGACGAAACACTGTCTATGAAAATACTGATTGGCAGACAAGTCATGTCTGATCAACGACAGAAATTAGCTGAAGAGCAAGCAAGAGTCTCTGCAGAACAAGCAGCTCAGGCCGCTTATCGTAAGGAACAACAACGTCTTCAGACTGAAAAGGCACAATTGGCAGCACTCGTGGGTCAACAATTGCCACCAGGATTTGATACCATGGGCATGTTTTAAACATTTGTAAATATTTTTTAATAATAAAAAAAAGAAACCTCTATGATCACAATCTATGTATTATACAGGAGGAAGGTTGACGTTATATGGAGGTAAAGGAGGTAAATCATCAGAGTCATTGAAATTGAGCTGCTGACAGACAGCCGCTGTGCGGTTCGAGACCCATTCGAGAACACCGATGGTACCATCGACGGTTGAGTAGAGATTCTTGTTGAACGTCTCTACTGTGTACTTGAACTTCTCGCCTGGTGAACGTTCAGGTAAACTAAAGTCCCAGGCGATATCTTCCTTGAGCATGGTAGCCCAGCCGTCCAAACGAGGCTTGATGACACGAGGATTAAAGAAACGTTTGATGATGGTCTTGAGAATATCTTGGAACTGAGCATTATAATAAGGAGATTTGATGAAGACATCCACGAGCGGACGCTTGTTACCAGATCGAGTATAGTTTTCATAAGGTACTGAGATCAGCTGAGGCTCTTCAAGACCATTACCAAATGTTTCATCAAAATCAAAGGTTGTTAGAGTCCATTTTTTGGAGCCCAAGTCTTGGGTGAGGTAAAAGTTACTTGCTTGATACCAGAATCCGTCCCAGGAGCCAGAAAGGAAATTGAGCGCGGCCTGTATCATGGTTTGATTGGCGTTATCAATCAAGTCGGTGATGTTGCCAGGATGTTGAGCGTCGGTACCGATTGCCGTTTGGTCCAACTTTCTCATGAAATCAATCAAGGGGCCCATAAAGTCTTCCTTGGTCACATTCGCATTACCCTTTTCTTCAAGCATGTAAAGATCGTCTGTATCATAATCTGCGGCGGAGGGTCCCTTGTAGACTAAATCTGCACCGTGGGTTTCGTCCATTGAGTTACCTTTGTATGTTGCGCCTGTCGTGTTTACATGAATGCCACCATGAAGGTAATTGTCAATAAAGCCGTCAAAGGTGTCATCGGTCATCAGGAACAGTCCATAGGGCTCCTCGTTCACATACAGACGAACCCAGTTGCTGCCTGGAGCTGCTGCGCCAGCAGCAGCCAAGGAATCTAGCATGAGTTTCTCTCTTACCATTGTGGGTTCGTTCGCTTCAGCACGTAGCTTGAGTGCATGGCGATTGTAGAGATAATCCTTGGTACCGTTATTAAACTTGTTGAACTTGATCTTGAGTGACTGCTTGGCATAGTCCTTTGAAGATTGACCAGCGTTCTTGATACCTGCTCCTTGGAACGTAAAAACTTCGTTGCTAGCGACGTACGTCATATTGTATACTTGGACGAACTTGTGACTCGCCTTGGGAGTCTTTAGAATTTTGTCAAATCCGGACTTGTCCACGTTCAAGATGAGTGTCGTCACTTCATTGTATCGGCTCATGTTGCTCACGAAAGCTAAACTAGAATGTTAGACATGCAAAAGGGTCCATTGAGAATGAGCTTACGCGTATAAATTGGATTGTACGCTCTAGGGAGAGCGGGGACATCATAGACCGTACGTGAGCGATTAAAGAATTCATTTCCGGTCGATACAGAATTATTGGCCAACGTACGTACAGCAAACTCGGGCGTTGTCTTGTTGCCGGAAACAAGAGCGTATCGATAGTCAGGGCCCAAGGGCGCTTTGCCTTTAAAGATATTTGGGTATTCAGGACTGTTCTGGAGTGGATAATTTTGATTGTTTACTGTGACAGCAACAGTTTGACTATCGCGAGGGAATGCAACCACAGCATATTCGACATCATCGGCTGCAATGGATGTAAGGAAGAGTAATAGACTAATAATGCCGCCCGAAAGGAGCTTCATGTTGAATTAAAGTAAAAAAAGAACAGCAATTCGACCCCCTTTTTATCTCACGTTAAATGTGTACTCCACAGAAAGTAAGCTAAATTTTCTACCTCACTTCTGATTGCCCTGCTCCGTTTCAAAAAGATGCGTGGAAGAACTTGATGTCATAGCGCCAATTTTTTGTTTCTTTTTTCCGAAACTCAAAAAATATAATTAGTATCAAAAGGAAATTAAAGAAGAAATGTATAGAAAACACAATGAATTCATTATTTCATGATGTGTAAAAAGGCAGGGGGGAGAGGAGCTTAATTTTGCCGTATATCCTTTTTGCTGAAAGGCAACAAGGACCGGGCCTATCGGAAAAAGAAAAAAAAGTTGCCATGGCAAAGATGGTAGCACTTATTATGTAAACTGTGCCTCTCCCCCTATTTCCTTTCTTTTCTTCTTTTTTTTTGATTAATCATTATGAAAGCATCAAGGACACGCGCCAAAACGTGACCTTTGTTTAATTGTGACGCTGTGTGGCCCTTGTTAATGTAGGTCACACGTACAGCTGTTGGTACAACGGAAATCGCACCATTATATTATAATTAGGTGACACGGTTACCGTACCACCTGCCATTTACGGATTTTCTTTACATGCAAGACTATTCATAGTAATCTAACATATGGTCCAAAGACGAAACAATGGATTGCGTGTGTGGCTTAAATGATTATAGAACACGAAGAAAAAAGAATAAAAATAAAACTATATTAACAAATTACATCACAAAGATAGAAAGTGTGTGCATAACGGGATAAACTAAAAGTGGAACAAGGCAACAGCTGAAGCAACGATGAGGACTGCATTGGAGATTCTAGAGATGGAAGCAGCAGAGGTGCTCTTGGCGGAAGCATTGGTGGAGGCATTGTTGCTGTTGCTGTTGCTGTTACCAGAGGGGCTACCATTGTTGGAACCAGTGCTGACAGTTGAACCGTTACCGGAGACAACATTACCATTAGCATCGAGATGAGTACCAGCAGTATAAGCAGGCAAGGCAGGAAGATCATCTGTATCTGAAAAGTTGAGTTGAGATGTAAGAGAGGTGACACGCTTAGTAACCCATTGACTGATGGCATCTGTGCCGTTGCCAAGTAATCCATCTTGGAAGTTTTGTACGGTGAAGGTAGTCTTTGTACCAGGAGAACGACCAGGGATTGCACGAGTCCAGGCAATGTCTTCCTTCAACATGTCAGACCAGGCTTGAAGGCGAGGGTTGATAACACTAGGCTTGAAGAATCGCTTGACAATCGTCTTGAGCGTGTTCTCAAAGACACCTTGGTAGTATGTATTGTTCAAGAATACGGTTACCAATGGGCGTTCAGAGCCAGGCCGAGAGTAGTTTTGGTAAGAGACTGTGTTCATGCTGGCATCTTCAGCACCATTACCAAAGGTTTCGTCAAAGTCGTAAGTGATCAAAGTCCATTTCTTGGTAACGAGGTCTTGGTTGAGGTAGTAGTTACTGGCTTGATACCAGAAACCGTCCCAGGAACCAATGAGGAAGTTGATGGCCAAGTGAATCAATGTATTTTGAGGGCTGTCGATCACATTAGCAATGCTGCCTGGATGTTGAGCGTCTGTTGCGTCCTTATAGTTTACTTGACTCAAGTTCTTGCAAAATTCCATAATCAATTGTTGACTGTTGTTCTTTGATACACTGTTGTCTTCTCCCTTATCGGCCAGTTTATAAAGGTCGGCGCTGTATTTAGTCAGATCATCACCAGCGTAGACTAAATTGCCTTCTTGTTCGGGGCTAAGAGCATTTCCTTTATAGGTAACACCTAAACGAGCTCATGTGAGAACTATTGTCACGATAAAACAAGGTGCGTGCTTACCTGTATTGGGTGATTTCCAGTTACCACCATGAAGAATATTGTCGATCAGATGGGTAGAGACATCGTCCATGAGTAAGAAAAGGCCATAAGGTTCATTATTGATAAAGACACGAGTCCATGAGGCAGAGAGAGTGGCGCCACCAGCAGCAGCAAGCATATCAAGAACTAATTTTTCACGACTTTTTGTAAAGAGTTAGCTTTGGACATATTTTTTCCTTGTATTTAGCATTTACGCAAAGGTGCTATCAGTTTCTTCAGCACGAAGCTTTAATGTGGTTCTTCCAAAGAGCAAGCTCTTTTGAGTGGTGTTTTTGTTGTACTTGTCTAATTCAATGGCCCAGGATTGCTTTGCAAAGTCTTTGGTGGATTGACCACTGGTGCTCAGACCAGCGTTGGTAAACTTGTAGACTTCCTTGCTGTTGATATAAGCCAATTCGGTTACTTGAGCATCGTCTAATTTTTCAAGAGGGTTCTTGTTGAAGGCTTCCAATTGAGTAGCATTGACTGTCATGATGATGGTAGAAACCTCGTTGGACTGATTCATGTTGGTAAACAGAGCTAGAGATATATGTTAATAAAAGAAAGAATCGTATAGGTCTTTCTCCTTACTTGGATAAACAGGATTAAAAGCTTGAGGAAGAGCAGGAACATTGTAGATAGTTTGACTACGGTTGAAGAATTCGTTGCCAGTAGAAGTGATACCATCAGTCAGCTTACGAGTTGTTGTTTCTGGTATCTTGTTTTGTCCGTCCGTGATGACATATTGATAGGTAGAACCAAAGGGAGCAGTACCTGAAAAGATGTTGGGATGAAGAGAGCTCTTTTGAAGCTGTACGGTTTGGCCATTTACAGAGACAGCAACACCTTGGTTTCCAGAAGGAAAGGCTACGACAGAGTACTGCACATCAGCAGCCAAGGTACCTGACAAGGCAAAGGTGACCAAAGCTGAAATGGTCAAAAATTTCATTTTTTTGGGGGGGGGGAGTGTAATGAAAAGAAAAGAAAAGAAAGAAAAAACTTGCGCTATTTGTACCTGTTATTCCATGGTACTCGTTCGCTCGGAGAAAGAAGATCTCAGTAGCCAGAGGCAACAGGGAGTTTCATTTTCGGGAACACAACAATTTTCACAACAGTGGTAAATAGGGGAGCAAAGACACGACGTCTCGTGATACCAAGTGCCGTCAATCGAGTCTGCGCTTTTTTTTGGGATCTACCAACCATCGTTCAGGAAAAGGGGATCATAAGTTGTATTACCCATATGAAGGTATCACACAAACAAATTGCCATCATTTCTGGCATGCATAACAAAGAGAGAAAAGAGGCGCAATCAAATTTCCATCTATTAGAGAAATAAAAGAAGTAAGAGATGAAATTGAAACTTGAACAATAGAATTTCGTGAGGGTAACTCCTTCTTAATGTGTAAAAGTCGTTGATGTTTACTAATAATAGAATATTACTTTTTGTCACCCATTTCTTTTGAATACAATTCGTAACAAAAAATAGATTACATAGCATCAAAACCCGGTAACATTAAACCCGGGTTTCAACGTAAATCAAGGAATCAATAGAACACAAGGAAAACTTTTCTCTTCTTTCTCTTCTCTTCTCTCTCTCTCTGATTTTAGGTTAAGACTATACTTATCACATCTCTCCTCTCTAGTTTGAAGCGTGCGAAAGGGATTATAGATAAAAGAATGGAAAAATAAAGGGAAAAAAATGCTGTCCAAATGTAGATAAAAGTAGCTAAAAATAAACTTCTTGTTGTTACGCCTCAAAAAAAAAAAAGAAATACTAAAATTTTAACTTGCTTTACTGCTTCTCTTATCTTCACCCTCCCCCTTTCCCCTTTCTTTTTCTCTTTTTTGGTTCAGAGTGAAAAAGCCTCACATGTAAACAGGGCTTTTATTTTTTGTCTACACGCAATTTGGGCCTTTTGGGCCTTTTAATTATTATCAATTACCCAATCAAAAAAGCAGTCATGAATTCGAGGTAATTATACCAATCCCAACCGCGTATCTGCACCACAACGGCCATGCCATTCTCTTGTGCAAAGCAAGGAAGTGGTAATAGAAATAAATTCAGTATTGAAGTGAGCGATTCTAGACGAGAGAATAGGGAGAGTTTGTTTAAACAAAAGCTTGGACAGTCCAGAAATGCCAATTACTAAAGCAGAGAGAGAGAAGATCTCTAGATTCCAACGCTTTGTTTTTCTATATAACAGAGAGCCTTCGCTCCTAAAACTGGCTTGTCTGTCTTTTTCATTTTTCTTCGTATAGGATAGTCAATCTTGGAGAAACAATACAAGGATGTTTTCGAGGTCATAAATGCACCAGTTATACACACGTTTGTGTACTTTCCCTGAACTTTCTGCTTCCTTTATTGCCTATGAACATTATGGGCTTCGTTTTCTCCTTTTTTGGATTAATAATTGGATTAATAAAATTTTTGAAGGGTGCCACGGCCTGCGTACTGTTGTGAAAGAGCTTCTTTTATCTCTTCAAGATTAACAACATGATCAATACTGAACTTGGATAGATTGTTTTTTATACTCTGTACTCTTCAGCCCCTCGGTGGTTCTCTTTTTTCCCAGTTTCCTCATCCAAAGTCGACTTCTTATTTCACTTTAAAAGAGCTGGGCAAATCAAGTTTAGATATATTTTCGTTTATAAAATCGGAATCAATAGTATCGTTATGGTATCTTTCAAGAATATAATCAAGATGAGGATCGTCTTCTTGTACACGTTCAAGAACCTGGAGTCCATTTCGAATGTCTTCCTGTCACCGTTTCTTCATCAGCACCAAATCATTAGCCATGTGCTCCTTGTTGTTGTCCAATGTCTTCGCCCTGGGAGTAGCTTGCAATGGCATAGTGCGTTGGCTTCTATGATTTGCGGCACGCCAGATGGACTATCAGCTACTGGCTCTGCCAGTGATACGCGCTTGTCAGTCCCCATTACACCCTGGCTATCTGCTTGCCGCCATTGGTCTATGCCTATGACAAGCATACTCTCGATGCCTCTGGTTCGCGTCTCTCTACAAGATTTGCATAGATGGTGGCACTCTGATCGACCCTTGTATGCATTAACGCCCTCGGATACCCAATCTTCCTAATCAAGGTTGGCATCTCTCTTCTTAGCTGCGGCGCTCTTTTGAAACACCTTTACGTTACCCAAAGCGTTTGCCCCTTGGATGCGTCTCCTTCATGTTTCCATAGGCATTCAACAAAAACTTCATCAATAGAACCCATCTCGTTGACTTTCTGCTGATCGTCGAACTTGAGATAATGCTGAGAAGGTCCGTTATCACTTTGCAATGGGTTATCCTCTGAAAAAAGAATATCGGACTGCGGTGGTATAGTTTTTGGACCTCTCTCAAGATCTGACCTCAACAGAAGAAATCTGGGCGGCTCTTATCACACTCTCCTCAAGCAAGGGTGACTGCCTCTCGTTGGAAGTGTTGAGTAAAGTTGGACTTGCGTTTTCAGTACTCTGGCGATACTGAACTGCTGGCATCAGCTGCGTGTAATGTCGATAGCAATCGTGTTACAAAATAGTATAAAAAATAGCCTTTTTGTGTATCATCCTTCTTCTTTTTATCTACTATTGGAGATGCTAGGTAAGATAGGTTTTTGTAATGTGCTTTACTGTTGAAAAGATAAATGACACAGAAATCAAGTATAAATGTGTTGTCCATGCTGACAACATTGAACTTGGAAACTATGTGAAATTTCAATTAATTAAACGGTTTTCTGACAGTTTTTCAATTGGTGCGGCTCATTGCCATATGGATCATACATACACTATTTCTAAAAAGATATGACGCGCTGACTTGTCGCTTTTTCGTATAATCTGTATTATAAAACTACAAAAACGCGACTTTACTTTCTGAAGAGACTGTGTTAATCAAGGAGTCAGAAGATTGATCACATATAACATTAGATACAAGGAATATAGAATCTACACATATGCCTTGCTGATGGTAAGAATGTAATAACATCTAAATATTGCAGAATCAGTAAATGAATAAAATGACATATAAAGCCTTTTTTATGCTACAGCGTAATGTGTTTGATATGAGTTATTCTGATACTTTATATCTTACAGTAGAGTATACATTCTACTTTACATTCCTCTATCGCATCTAAAAAGGATAAGAACTAACGTGTTGACAACATTAATATTTCCTATAAAACCCTCACCCAAGCCTAATTTAATAATACTTAACTCTTCTTTTTATAAAGAATGTAATCCGCAAGTTGTCGATATGATAGCTTTTTACAATAACAAAGCTTAATGCAGCAAAGCTCGTCATTTAATCACTATATAGGACATTATCAACAACAAGATCGATCGAGAAGAAGCAACTATCAAGTTGTTGTAAGTGGAAGGGCAAATTTCAAGTAAGGAATACCGGATTGTGAAGTCATTCGCGATGATCATGCAAAAATCATCAGAATATTGTATTGACGATACAATAATGGAACAAGAGCTCATTACTCGCTATTTAGAGCCAACATTAACGCTTTTATTTGATGGCATCCTGCAGGATACACTATTTCATGGGGCTACCACGATTAAACAAGAATTAAAAGCGACCACTTCTATATCGATTAACAAAAGCAGGCCAGATGCATGTGTCTCTGGATTGATCGGTATCACTCGGGGCTTTGGCGAGGTGAAATCTTCGACAGAAGCCAACAACAACTACTTGGTTGCGCGTGATCTTATCCGACTAGGCATATTCGCCAAAACTTCATTGATCTCAACAATATAAAGAGATGTTTAATGTCTCAATCAATCGGCCGACACACGTTTTTTTTATCTTGTGGCTCTCCTGAGCGATGCGATCTATGTGGTGTATGAAGCCACAAAGATTGAAATCTCTACGCGCATCTTAGATTTGCTGTTGTGCCATCACAACATTATCAATAAATATTTGTAGTAACCGTTACTCAGTTAGGGGCTCTTCCTATCATACGTGAGCTTACTCTTAAAGTACCACAGTGCTTAATTAAACGCCTGTACTCTAACTTCCAGGTCAACGGTTCCTTATTCGACAGACATTGTCAGATCATGTACCACATCATTAACAAGGTACCTCGAACATATATCGAACCAATAGCTAATATTAGTTAGGCTCTTCCCGGTTATTCCCATAGTAGCTGGACGCTTATAGGTACGCTTACGATATCCAACCATCACAATTGATTGTAGATGTTAAAAAGTCTAAATACTATTGTTTTGCTCGTCGTAAATAAAGATGCCATATGTTTCAGTCTCACTGACTCATTGCCCATTTTCTATTCTTATTACTACTAGCTTTTGTCCCTTACTTTCATATTTGGCAAACCACTTGCCATCGTATTTCGGGTAAATGGGTCGATCGATGCATGCCCTTACGATTTATGGCGACTATTGTGTTCCAGTTGATCAAAAAGACGTTGATAACGTACATTTACGAAAAAGAAAACCGATGACTGATGCACAACACGGCTGAATCCTTGATCCATCAAAAAACAGCAAGCGTCAGTCCGTCACGATATTTCACTTCCAATAATTCCCATCTCCACTTTTTGTGTGTATTGATGTTTGAAGACAATGCTCCATAAAAAAACAGAATAGTCATTATGCTTAATGGACATAATCGACTTGAGCATATCGTCAGCAAATTGCATAGTAATCATGCTTATAGGTTTGTCACTATTGTTTTTATCTCTTTTTTTTTTTGTTACTTTCTTGCGCAATTGGTACGTGTAATTTGTATGCTTATAATTTGTAGGCGTTTTTTAATGACGAGCCAATTTAATTTCGTTTGATGGAGGCTATTCGCACAACCCTTCTGTGCAAAACTGTCATGTACTAACTTATCATTAAGGGTTATTCATGCACAATGACGCGCTGAATTGCAATGCACAGATTATGCAGGATGAGTTGAGCATCTTTATTTAGTAATATAATCCCTGGCCAGGAGATCTATGTTTTCCAAAATAAGGTGGTTCTTGGCACACTAGTCCATGATAATGCAACGGCACGATTTTCGACGATCAAAATCTAATAAAAAGGATACACTTAAATCACCACCGAAATGATGACATAAGGCTCCAAAGGACCAACCAAAGTGACTGCACGGTGGCGCCCTCACCACCAGAGGCTCCTTCTCTTGTCAACGAGAGATACGTTGATAAAATCTTGTAGCCTGATTCAATACATGAAACCAGCATTGAACGAATGTTAATGGCTGCATTGATATCCCTTTGCCAGACCTGTTATTACTCTCGTTAGGGCTATTTTCGCTTGTTTTATGGATAAGTACTTACAATATCTTGACCATTAGCAACTGGACACAGTTTGCAATATTTCAACTGGTAAATGGCAGGCGGGAAACCTATAAGCATAGATTAACATCAATCAAACTTAATTCCATATATTATACGACTTACTGCTTGGCTTTCTTTCTGGACACTCTGAAGTTCGACAGATGACATGATTGCCATTGTCCAAGCAGTGCTGTGCAGCATTCTTTTGTCCTTTTAGTCGTAATCTTCTTTTTCTTTCGGAACATAAAGATACTTCATATCAACAATTGTAATTTAATCGTATCAATTACATACCTGTGATTGCACACTAGTGTCTGTGCTTTTATATTGTAAATATCTTTCTTCAAGATGTTGTCTGTGCCATTCAAGCGCAATACTTGGATTTGTACAAAGTTAACAAAAAGAGTATTAGTATATATTTTAAATAGCTCACTTGCATGACCGTCTCCACTGGGTTTGGCGTAGGTAACGAAATAGTTCGCATAATGAAATCCATTACCTCTTGAGACTACTTTCTATGGATTGCGTAGATTGTACGGCATAATTAGTAAACCTTCAGTTCGCCCGATGGGAAAGCAACAAGCTTGATAAAGCATTGACACTCGTTCCTTTGGGTATCTCTAATAACCATCTTTTTCAGAAGCACAAGGAGTGGCATCTTTTGGTTGCTCATCTTCAGTTGCTACCTTTTTTCCTGGCTTATACTTACCAAATTGCTTGCAGGCCAAAGCAGAGTAGGATTTCTTTGCATTGGAGTGGGCAGCAACAAAAGGAAAACACTATATGCACCAGAAAATACATCAGAAGTTAGGTTAATCCTACGGGCGTTGCTTTTACTCACTACCTATGATGTCGCCCAACAAAACTCTTTAAGCTGCAGTGTCAAATTAAACATGAATTTTATAAAGTCGTCATATTGGTTTGTTTCTTTTCAGATAGAAGAAGAAATAAGAAGAAATAAAAAGAAATGTTATTTTTTTATTCTAGTTTTATGTTGTCAGTCTATCAACAAATGAACCAAGATCAATCACTTGTAATTATGATAAATTCGTATTTCATAGCAGAGAGAGGGAACTGGAAAGTCTTAGGTTAAGCAGAGAATTTGTTAGTGTGAAGTTGTAAAATGATGCCACATGTAGTGCCTAGAAGAAGTGCCTGCAGTATTGACTTATTTTCTGGTGCATGTAACGTTCACCTAACAAAAACAACGTTCCATTTTTTTACCAAAATCCGCGGCAGCGCTGCGAGCTTCAGCAATGCTGATGTATTCACAATCTACATCAAATCTTTCAGAGAATTCGACATTCATATCTTTAAAATCATCTTGAACCAAGTTCATAATGTTGTTGTTGACGGCGCTGGAGTTCATAGCTTAGGTTATATCTTGTAAATTAGATAAAAGAAAAGCAACAAGGATAGCAAGTTTTTTCCTTTATTATAATTAGTGAAATTGAAAATCATCTTCTTTGAGCTTCAAAAGATATAATAGCTGTTATACTGCTCTTTTATGAAATACTCAAGACGCATGAACAGTTTTGAATTTAAACATCCGAATCAGGAACAATGAATGGTCAAGCCTAAACGCAGCGCCACAAATTTTGAGAATCAGTCCAACAAAAAGTGTAACGTCACTATTTTGAAATCTGAGAGTGCGCGAGGGAGTGCGCCAAGAATCTCCCGTCCTTATTATTCTGATTCGAAAAGAAGACACCAACGTCATTATTGTCTTATCCAATCAAAAAATTCTGGGGTGATTTAAGTGAGTGCATTTTAGGACTTAGTGGTGTTTCTTGTGCGAGAAAGACTAAACTTTTCTTTTATATTCAGTGTTCCAAATTAAGCTTCAAACCATGTCAGAAAGAGCCATTGAATATGCAACACGATCTGACGTCGATCTTGATGCACTGCCTTGTAATAATAAAAATAATAAAATATTTACGTGTATGCTCATTTTTTTTAGACGTTGATCGTGATCTTGATGATGAAAGTGAGTAAAGAATAGAGAGATTATAAATATTAAACTAATTTTTGAAAAGATATAAAAGCAGAAGTCGAAAGACTGATTGAACAAGAAATGCGACGCATGAAAAGAACAGAAAAATCTAGTTTACCTACGACAATCAATCTGTTTGAAAACGACGAGACATTAAAAGAAGAATTTGAACGAGTACAACGAAAACAGGTACTTGATGTCTTAGATACCGAACGATACGAACTCAAAGGGCCTTCAAACGAAGAAGATATCGAAGCTTGGAAGGCAGCAGTCAATAATACAAAGTCTCAACTAGAATCTCAAGCTGGAAGGTAAACCGATTATAATGGCAAAGGTGAAGGCTAATATTTCATAGCATGTTTAACTTGGAGTTACTTTCAAAATATGGGGCAAATGCATGGCGAGTACACAATTATCAATTGGAAACGTATCTCAAATATATCAAATCAAATACTGACCGTCTTCGTAATGAGATTATCGAAATCAATAAGCAGCGTAAGGCAGATCAAACGGCAGCAGCGGCCACACTGGCCTCACTAGAAAACAAATGGTCGGATCTGATCAGTCAGAATTTACAAGTGGAAATTGCCTGTGCAGCGCTTGAAGGTGAATTGCATGAACTAAGATCACATCATAAGCGAGCAAGGAAATAAAGAAAAAGATAGTCTTTTTAATAACACGTGGATTAAGCAGGAGTTATTATGTATAAATGTGTGTGAGGATGTTATCATGATTGCCAAAGTGTTGTTTGAATGATTTATCAGTTCTATACATACTTAATCTTATTGGACATGCCTGTTTTATGAGAAAAAGAAAAAGAAGAAGAGATGTCTAGCCAACAAAGGATTTATTGCTTTTGTAATTCTTCTTTAGTGACATTGTCAGGTAAACCTTGATTTCTACGCCATTTAATGAAATCGTCATAAGTCGCAACTGCACCATTACTATTTTCCATCACTTTCTTAAACACGCTTAAGGACCCTTGAAATCTTCTCTTATGATTCGAGAACCAATAAGTAATATTACGAGATGGTAAGCCTGTCTTTCTCTGTACTTCTAATCTTTGCTGCTTTGTCAACTTGGTCTGCTTGCTATACGTCTCAAAGAACATAGATTGCAAGTAGGCAGTCGTTTGACTGTCATAAGCCTTGATTCTCTTCCTCTTACTTTCTTTCTTTTTATTAACCTTCTTTTGGACCTCCTTTTCTTCTACTTTGGCAGGATCAGGTGTACAGCAGATAGGCGTCGTGGTAGCCGTACTGGTCGCAGTCGTACTGTTGGATTCAGGAAGCGAAAAGGTCATATGTTCTGGCTTGATACATATAGTCGTCATCAGGGCCGGGTTTTGAGGAAGCCAGTAGTCATAACATGACGGGTGATATTGGTAGTCGTAGATCTGATTGATGAAATGGGCCAACTGTAAAGAGCTCTGTGCCAAGAAGTTCTCTTCTCCTTCAGGCATCATCAATGGCCCTTCTCGACAGGGAGCATGATCATGTAAGAAGTCTGTGTACCCCTCTTCTTCTTGCTTGATAAAGTGGTTCATAAAGGATGAAGAAGAAAATGAAATGAAAGAGAAACGGTTTGTTGTCAAATATAAAGGCTTTGGATATCTAATAATTTATTTAACTTTTGGGACACTTTTTAAACATCAGAATCCATATTACGTAGAGGAACAAATCTGCCTCTGTCATCTTTCTTGAGTAGATTAGATAGTGAAGCCAACTGACTTGCTCTATTACTACTTTTCTTATTGAACAAGATGAACCCAATACAGACGATCACGGTTGCAGAGATGCCAAAGTAAACGTAATAGCTTAAATTACTGCTGTTCTCTTGTTCATCTTTTTCTAGTTCTTTTTCTTGTTCTTTTGTTGTCTCCTTTTCTTTCTGCATCTTTTCAATCAACTTTTGCATCAAACCCGTCTGTGCCTTTGGTTGGTACTGGGGTGATCTATATTTCGTTTGCTCAATCATCTTGTTGACTTGTTCTAACTCAGGCAGATGCGCGCCCTCATTTGACGACTGCAAGATACTTTCAGCAATCAGTCGATGAACACCACCGGTCAGGTGAACTTTATCCCACCAGACATAACTATTGACATCATCCATACATTGTCCCTGACAGACATCCCAATAAGGATCTACTGCGTTCTTGAGTTCAAAAGAATCAGGCTGAGCTACGATATCATCAAGTAAGCGATGAATGTCCATAAAGTCCAGCTTAAGATGCTCGATATGTTTGTTCAACTTTTGCACTTCGTTCGAGAGATATTCATTCAGCATATTCGCTGCATGCTCTTTAATTTCCTTATCTGGCTTATCCGTAAAGTATGGCATCTTTTCCAAGGGTGGGATACCAAAGACGATATATCGATTTGTTGAAAAGACACGACGAACCGTGCGAATATTGGTACTGATACAATCGACTACTTTTTTCAATTTGGAACCCTTGTCGTCATCGTCTACAAAACATTAATATAAACAACATTTTATGCACTTAATATAAATACCTTGTTCATATATATGGTAAATATCATTCACACCGACCCAAAATATCGTAATAGTCTCTTCAGGATTCAACTGAAGTGATTGATTATAATACATTTCTATTTGATCTTCAATGCTTGGTATAAATTGCTTGGTTGAATACATCCTATTGCTGCATACTGCTCCACTAAATGCAAAACTGTATAAACTAGCATCCCAACTGGTTGCTAGGTTTTGACTCCATAGTGGTCCATTGGTCAACTTTTGATGATTTCCAGCATCTATTCCATGTCAATTATTTTTACTTTCTACTCTCTTTTCTTTATGAAATACCAGAATATGAATCTCCAAAGACAACAATGTTCTTTATCGTTTGTCCAAGTGACAAATGACAAAGACTGATGAATAAGAATGTAGTTATCAGTGAACGCATTAATTAAAAAGAAAGAAAAAGATAATTGCGGGAGTTGAATAAAAGGGAGGTGAGTATCCTCATTTGAGTGATGATTCAGGACGGTATGCGTGACCATCATTGACGTTTGATCACACGTTCTTTAGCATCAGTTTATAAAAGATGCTTTTTTATTTATCTATTTGTAATATAAGTGCTGTTGACCCCAGATGATGACACACACATTTGTATCCATAACTTGCAAATAAGGAGTGTTGCATGAAAGGAGTTTTAAATCGATTGAATTTAAAGAACGGTAAGTTTGACCTTTGTTTTTTTTTCTTTCTTTCTTTTTCTGTCTTTATAAAATGAGTTCGCCATTACCAGTAAATGCAAAACAAGGCTATAGGGAAGGTTCCGATTATCTATCTTCTTCAGTAGATCGAGCCTTATCGACTGCCCGGCTTGGTACTTCGCCCAAGAGCCTTACGTCGTCACATCATACCTATGGTTCAACCAACGATTTGGAGCATATGAACACGACACACAGCGGGAATCTATTCCGGCCACTGTCGACTGCAACCTACAACCCAGAAGATAATACGGTGAGTGCTGACCTATCTGAGGATCAAGTGGTCCAAGTTGTCAAGCGACACCTGGTCGACACGTCACCTGCTGCCTCACTGCGCAGTGCTTCCATTCACCGAAGTATCACAAACGAGGACGACAGAGGGTCGGCCTTACGGAGTGTCCATCAGTTACCGGGTGGAGCGATTACGCACGATATCTATAAGTGGGCCGAAGACGCGGAGAATGAGCAAATAGCAAGACGACAGCGGTCACAGTCGTTTTATTTACCCAAGGGCGAACCTTTGGATCCGACACTAGCAAGATTGAAGGATCCTGGAGGGTTCAGACGTCATTTTGTTGTTCATAAGGCCGCACGGTTAGGGAGGGCGCCTCCTAACTGGATGACTCGTACCTTTGTTGACTTTTTAGCCTTGTATGGACATTTTGGTGGTGAAGACTTGAGCGAAGAAGAAGAAGAAGAAGAAGCTGACGAAGAGCAAGGCCCAGAAGAAGAGGAACCTTTGATCGGAAGACCTCCACATAATGCTGTACAGGGTACGGCTACTCCAGCTAAGGCCGTCTTTTTGCTCTTGAAATCTTTTGTTGGCACAGGTGTCATGTTCTTACCCAAAGCGTAAGAGTCTATAAAAGAGTCTTTTCTATTCTAACAATTGAAATGTAGATTTTATAATGGTGGTTTAGCCTTTTCTACCATCTTGCTAACAACCATTGCTCTTATATCCCTTTATACATTTCTGTTACTTGTCGAAACAAGAAATAAGATTCCCGTCTCCTTCGGCGATATCGGCGGTGTCCTGTTTGGACCATCTATGCGATTATCTGTCTTGCTGGCTATTACATTGTCACAGGTAAACAAAACAATATACATGCCAACCACTGCAATATATAACACACACATATATTGTAGATTGGCTTTGTATGTGCCTATATGGTATTTGTAGCTCAAAATGTTCAAGCTTTGATCGAATCTGTATCTCAATGCCAGCTCCAGGTACCACTATCCTATCTTATTTTGGCGCAAATCGCCGTTTTTGTACCTCTGGCTATGATTCGTAGAATTCAAAAATTGTCAGCTTTTGCGTTGATTGCAGACTTGTTTATCTTGATCGGATTGGTGTATCTTTACTACTATGATTTCTTTACTCTATCTCAACACGGTATTGCTGATGTAGAATGGACGATTAACTATGCTTCGTTCCCAATGTTTATTGGTACTGCCGTATTCACTTATGAAGGCGTGGGCTTAGGTAAACACTTTTACATATGTGTGTATATTATCTGCTCACTACTTCTTTAGTCATTCCTATTACCGAGTCTATGGCAGAACCCGAGAAATTCCCCAAGGTGTTATCAGGCACGATGATCTTCATCACTACCATCTTTTTATCTGTCGGCTTCATTTCATACCTAGCCTTTGGTAGCCAAGTCCAGACGGTAATTCTGTTGAATATGCCAGGCACTGCTGCTGTCAACACGGTCCAAGGTCTGTATGCACTCGCGATCTGTCTGTCGATTCCACTTCAGCTGTTCCCTGCCATCCGTATTATCGAAACTGGTCTCTTCACTCGCTCTGGTAAATATGATAACCTTGTCAAGTGGCAAAAGAACATGTTTAGGTTTGTCGCTGTCCTTGTCTGTGCAGCGATTGCCATTGCTGGTTCAAGTGACCTCGATAAATTTGTTTCTCTCATCGGTTCCCTCTGCTGTGTCCCTCTCTGTTTCTTTTTCCCTCCTTTGTTTCACCTAAAGGCTATTGCCAACAATTGGCGTCAAAAGACGGCCGATATGTTGATTATCGTCTTTGGATTAGTTTCGATGATCTATACAACCTTTATCACTGTCTCATTATGGTCAGAAGGTGGTGAATCTGCTCCTATATCCAGGTGTTCATAGTTTGAAACACAGTTTTACACTTTTTTTTCTTTTTTTTCTTCTTTAAATAATAATAAAATATCATGTCCACATCACAATTATTGCCATTAGGTAACATGATTTATTAAAAAGGACAAGATAATAAGCTAAATGAGAAGCATACGTATATATTTATAGAACTTATTGATAAATGTATTGGATCTAGAATTTGGGTTGTCATGAAGAATGAAAAGGAATTTACAGGAAAGCTTTTAGGTTTTGACGATTATGTCAGTAAGTGTCCCATTCTTATATTGTTTGATTTGAGACGAGTTGATTGATTGAAATAGACATGGTATTGGAGGATGTCACGGAATAGTAACTATAAATGACGTGTATATGTGGATGTGTATATTAACTTGAATGATAGTGAAAATACAAAGGAAGGTTACAAGACAAACAAGTTGGAACAGATCTTGTTGAATGGAAACAACATTTGTGTCGTAAGTTTGATTTAGAATGCGTGCAATATACAGTTTATTCATTATAATTATTAGCTGATACCTGGTGGAACTGGTCCAGTTTAAATCATTAAATAAAATCATTTCAAAGGAAACGTGAGAGGAACATGCATGCCTCGTATCTTGACCTTGTTTTTATAGTTTTTCAGTTCGATAGGATCCATCGTATGTGACAGATAACAAAAGGTGAATCCGGTCATATAGGCGTCAAAGTGAGACGCGTGAGCTCCTTCCAATCTTGTGTCTGTCTTTGGCTCGTCTTTGTCAAGAGAAGATGAATAGACTTGAGGGTAAATCGAGGGACCCATTTGATGGTCAAGGATTATTTGGATATCGTGAAGTTTGCTGTGAGGATCATGACCTAGTTTACAGTAACCATGTTCCTATATGACATATGAATACACACATATACATTGCATATGTCATGTTCTTACGGCAAATTGTGTACAGTAAGGTTCTTTTCTGACATCTTGTCTTTTTGTAGGTCGATCATCATCATTTTCTTCTTCAGTCTTTTTATTCTTTTTAGTCTGTTCTAGTTGAATGGGTGCTTGAACATCGATTTCAAAATACGGCTTTGCTTCTGTAGACTTGTCATCAAACCTGTTCTGTCTCAATCTGTCATACTTGGCAAACACATAACCCAAGAAAGACGCTTGATGATCATCGCCTTGCTCTACTAAAAACTTGGTATCATAGATACCTGATGGAAAATGATTGGATATTTCTTTGAGAAAGCCAGAGAGCGTTTTAGGAAGTGGGCCAATAAAGGAGTGATAGAGGTACATGAGATCAAACAGGCCATGGTGAATGACCAAAGGAATATCTCGACGCGCCATTAGTTGCATTATGCCTTTCCACACATCCACCAATGTCGAAGGCTGCTGTTGTTGTTTAGAAGAGGGAGGAAGGAAAGGAATTCCGTCGACAAAGAGGCGATCAAAGCTAAACTTGTGTTTTACTAAAAATTCGCCTGTACTCGAATCGATCGTGAATTTACCTTGTTTGAGCGTCAAGAAATTAAAGTTGTCGCATATATAAAAATGGCCTTTCTCTTCCTCCTCCTTTTTCTTGACAATGGATAAACCTATTGAAAAAATGGTGTGGTCTTCTACAGTTTGCTTCATGGCCACATAGCGATGGTTCATGTCTTTAGGATGATGTTCACCTAATCCACTGAATTCGAAATCGATCGCAATAAAGCAAGCTTGACTTACTCTATCAAGAATATGTGATGCCATTTGTACAAGGTTGTTTCGGTTGACATCGTTAAATGATACGACATGGGCACTTTTGGGTGTCATTTTGAAAAGAGAGGAGAAAAGAAAAAAAAGATAAAAAACTGGGCTTGGAATATATCTCTATTTTTTTTTTTTTTTTTTTTTTTTTTAAGGATGAGCCATTATCAAACAACAGATTTTAATGAACCTTATTCATCTATAGCATTTCGATATAAACAGCCTACGTCACCATACCCTTCTTTTCCAACAACAACGACAACAACAAAAAGATATTACGAACGACGATGGCTGCATCGAAAGACAGTAATATTATGCATGTGTACAACACTGTTCATCCTATATTGTTTACGCCATGTCATACTCGTTTATTGGGCATTTTTGAAAATCAAGCTAGACAATGCTGTATTTGATCGCGGCTATGTACCTTGTGGACGATTACGAAAGCAGCCCATTTTATATGTGTATGATTCAGATCATGTCGAGATCGTTTGGGAAACGAACTGTGGGACAACAGATAGACAGATGCAACTAACGTATCACTCTAAAGAAGAACAACCAGTGACGATTGGACCAATTGAGCCAATAGTGTTGGATAGATACCATACAGTATACAAGACAAAGATTGGACCTATCGAAGGACGAAAGATTAATTATTTGATCCATGACGAACAAAGGACGTTGACCAAGGGCACATTTCAATGGCACAAGCACACGCAAGATGAACCGATACGAATAGCAGCAATGGCAGATAACCAGTTTGGAATGCTCACTTTTGTGTCGTTACTCCGACAGGTTGCGTCCAAGAAACCACACTATCTACTTCATGCGGGAGATGCGATCCAAAACTACCCCGACCTACGACAATGGCAGACAGACTTTGTGGCGCCCCTGACGTTCTTTGGGCTTGGCCAGACGACACCCATGATCTATGCACATGGCAACCATGACTTTGACGGCACATCAAGGTATGTTTATAGCCGATCGTCCAACTGGTTTTCGTTTTCACTTGCACAGGGGACGATTCATTTTATTGTACTCGACAGCAACTTGGATTGGGAGAGCCAAGATGACTGGCTACAGGCTGAGCTCGAGACAGAGGCCTTCAAGCAAGCACAGTTCAGGATCGTCGTTGTCCATGTGCCACCCTTTCTCGAATACTGGGACCCTGAGGCCTGGTTTGACCTACAACAGAGCGAATGGAGTCGATTCGTCAAGGATCGGTACGTGCCTCTTTTTGAAGCTTCAGGAGTTGATGTGGTTATATCTGGGCACCAACATAACTACGAGCGTGGAGAACGTAACGGGATACAATATGGGATTATCGGAGGCGCAGGAGGAGACCTTGATCGAGAACAGGTCAAGGATTGGGGTATGTATGAGGCCAAGTTGTTTGATTTTCATTTTGTGATGATCGAGCTCGTCAATAACTCTCTCATCTGGGAGACATTTGACCTACATGGCCAGCGAGTAGATCGTGTCGTGATCAAGAAATAAAACAAAAAACACATTTTATTTAGGGAGGTGATAATTGAATGTCTCGCCAGTACACTCTTTTGACAGTGCCGTTTTGTAACAGCACTTTACATACCTTTTGCTTTGGTATGCATTTCTGAATCCTGCCTTTACAGACACCATCCTTCCATTTGGTGTAGATTTCTAGGTCTCTTTTTAATTTGTTGGCCATTTCCTTGATATATTGTCTATCCTTTATTTTTTTCTATTGTAACATTTAAGAAAAAAGGCAAGAAAAAAATGTATGGATGGAACTTACTGGATCATGTTGAGAACAGTGTGCGTCATATAGTGATCTTTTACTCGCAGATCCTCGTCCGGCTTTACGTTTCATGATGGCACCTGATTCTACAGCACAAGTAGCATGAAAGGACCTTGAACATTTATCGTAGCAACACTGCATACAGGCACCTGATTTCTTCTTGCAGTATATACATATCTTTTTTTTATGTTTAGTAGACAGTCTTTAAAGAACATACTTTTTTTTTACCAGTTTCTTTCTAATAGGTGGAATATCATCCACTCCATAAACTCTATCTTTTGCAATATACGTTTCATCCATAGCCTCTGCACAGAGTTTATGTACGTAGACACCTTGAGCAAAAGGCATTAGACAATAGTCATCATCCTTGGACACGAATGAAGGCTTCTCTACTGGACAAAGCACGCATTTTGTCTTGATGCCTGTCTTTAAACGTTCTTCTTGTTGTGGTTTGTTTTCTTGCTTTGGTGCTATTTCATCTACATCAATCATCACTGTATCCTCTATGCATTCACACGCCTTTGCTATCTTTCCGATCGGTACCCAAGAGTCTAGAGCAAAATTGACGCTTTCAGCACAATTAAAGTCAAGGTTGTACCCAGAGTGATAGCCATAAGGGAAAGTGATGATGATTTCTCCCGGCTGTTGGACACAGCGTTGAATAGGGATACCTTGTTCTTTTAAAACGGTTGGAGAAATGATGAATGTCTTGTGTCGAAGGAATTGATGGCAATGTTTGTATTGAATGTAAAATTGGTCTAAGAGCGGTTTGAGTTTGTGTGTAACAAAGGTTTAATTATGCAACCCTTACCTTGCATGAAATTTTCAAACTTTTTTCTATAATCTGGAGGGATGACATACCACTGCTTGGGAGCACCGAAATGGATGAGATTGATAGAATAGAGGTCCATGTCCTATTGAGAGTGTTATATGTATATGTATTTATATATGTATGAAACTTGCCTCTACATGCCAAGCAAATGTAGCTTTCCACATACCAAAGTACAAGTAAGGTGAATTGACACCAGGTACGACTGTTTTAAGGTTATTGAGTACATTATCAAGCTTATTAAGATTCCAAAAATGAATTGAATCATCAAAAAAAGCTATAAAGGGGCTTAATAAAAAGAAACATAACTGTCTTGACCTTACTTCCTAGTAAGTCAGCACCATACATGGCTTGATTAAATGCAATCGTTCGCCAATAATATCTCTCAATGTCTTTGTACTGATCTGTTGACAAGAAGGAGGTCTTTGTCTCATTTTTAAGATAGTTTGATAGTAATTCATTGTCCTAAATTAACGTTTGGTTGTTATTAATATTACTTATCATTCCACTATTGTTTACTATCCTTTTGTCAGTAAAAAGATACAATCATGTCATATAATATACCTTTTTGTTTTTTTGTAGGTGGACGATGGCCTGGTTGTTGACATAGTTCGAACCATTGATTAACTGTAAATGTTCCTCTTTTTTCAATATTGGTTTGGCTGAATATTCCATTATTACCGAGGATATGTTGAGTCTAGAGTGAATATTAGAATATTTTATAAATTCTCCCTGTCGTCTTTTGTTTTACAATGGGCTTTCGTATCTTGATGTCATTTATTTTATCTGCTATCAAACCAGGTAGTTGTTCGCTCCTATGTAAAAGACAGTAAGCAGATCATTTACATGTAAAAATATGTGTATTTACCATTCTTTTGGAGGTATTATTTTAACTATGCCCGCCTTTTTCCCGTATTCATCAATTGCTTCCATAAACGTTTTAAAGTCTTTGAATTCTTCCATTGTTGGTGCAAATATTGGAATGGTTCCACCATTTTCCTATAAAAAGTATCACAAATGTTTGTTATTGTCAACTAGGTTGCTTTAAGCGTACTTGATCATAATATCCGCTCGGTTGAATTTTCATTTTTCATATGTAAAGAAACAAAAAGAGAAGAGAGAAATAGAGAAAGAGAGAGAGAGATACAAAGAGGAAAATAAATGACTGTAAGCTATGACAGGCTGGACAAAGAGGCTTGTACTTCCTTTTTTGGTTTAACAGACCCAGTTCCATATCTCGCTGCTTTTTTTTTAATTCTTAAAGCATGCAATTACTTCATCTCTTTATAATTCCATTCTTACTTGTGAATGCACAATTTGTAGTAGAAGAAGGTATTGTTGAATAAAAACACAAAGGCCATGTATTAAAAAGTATACTAGATTTTCAAAAGGTTACGTGTGCTAGTGCCATCAAGCTGACAAATAAACCAACTGGATATAAACTACACTCTCATAGTGTTACATATGGTAAATGGAATAACATTAGAGATTATTCTAATAATTTCAAAAGGAAGTGGGTCAGGTCAACAATCAGTAACAGCATTTCCAGAGGCAAATGACGCCAACAGTCTATGGCTTGTTGAAGCAGGTTCAGGACTAAAGTGTAAAAGAGGGTTTGTTTGTTTGCTTTTTTTTTTTTTAAAAAAAAAAAACTAACTGTATTCATCTATTCTCTGTATAGTGAACCTGTACCTTGTGGATCCATCATTCGCTTAAAACACGTCAATACACGATCATATCTCCATAGTCATGCTCATCAATCACCTCTATCTAGACAACAAGAGGTCAGTTGCTATGACGGACAAGACTCTGGTGATGATTGGAAAGTAGAATGTGATGGACAGTACTGGACAAGAGAAAACGTTGTCCAATTGGCTCATCAGGATACCTCTGCTTATCTAAGCAGTTCAGATAGATATCAATTTGGACAACCGATTCCAGGTCAACTTGAAGTTGCTGCTGTCAAAGGTTCTTCCAAGAACACACAGTGGGTAGCGCAAGTAAGTTTATTATTTTTATCTCTATATTCTTTTTTTTTTTTAATACACACATATAATATAGGAAGGTATTTATTTTGCTTCCATCTAAGCAATGGCTTGTGTTATTCCCAATGGTGCAGGAACGTATTTTTCGACTTTATGTGCATCTGAAGGCAACGTGAATTCTTTTTGTTCTTTGCCATAATGATTTATTAAAGCATCTTGACAAGCCTATTTTAAATAAATAAAAACGAAAGCTTATTCATAACCTTCACTTACTCTAAACTCGGCCATCTTGATCGAACTACCAAAGCCTTCACCCAACTTTTCTGTTTCAGAAAACACACCGACGACAAAGACGGGTGCAGATGAATGTCGACCTGTTTCTGACAACAGCCTTGACTCTGCCTTTGGTTTACCCAGTTGTCTCAACAAGGCACTCAACTGACGCTTGGGTTCGTCCATCTTGATCAAAGGTCGAATATCCATCTCGCGTGCCAAAATAAAGTCATGTACAAACTTCTTGGCTGCATCCTCACCGCCTTGTTCAAACACGGCTCCAATCACAGCGTGTAAGCAGTCGGCCAAGACGGTACTCTGACCTAGCTTTTCTGTACGTGTCCACTTGATAGAGTGCTGCATGCCTAATTCGGTTGCGATCTGTGCAAACGTCTTGTTGGCAATGTACGCGCTAATCGTCTTTTCAAAAGCTTGTGGGTGAAGGTTGGGATATTTACAATGAAAGAATTCGGTCACAAATAATCCAGTCACTCGTTTGCCTAAGTTTGTACATGAATACCAAAAGCTTGTAGAAAAAAAAAAATCAAGATTTACCGATGGACTTGTAAGCTTCATGGTTGTCTTGTTCTGCATAGGATTGGTGCGTCAATGCCTTCTTGAATGCATTTGAATCGATCGAAACAAGTCCAAGTCGAGCTTGAAGTGCATGCATAGGTGCATCCTCATTGTGTTGAGCATAGACTGAGTAACATAGACGAGAAGCTAATAAGAGTTAGAAAAGAATAATAAAAGGGACTAAAATTTCAGTTATTTACAAGAAAAGCTTCTAGCACTATTTAAGAAACGACTTGATTTCAGAAAAGTGCTCAACATTATCACAAGGGGGAAAAAGAAAAAGACAGACAAAGAGAAAGAGGAAAGAGGGAAGGGGGGAAGGGGGCCTACAGCGGTCATTGAAGTTTAAAAAAGTGGCTTGTATTTATTCAATGTGCATGACATCCGCCAAATTGTTTGTCATTTTACCCAGTGTTTCTGTTGAAAGAGATGAGTTATGCTTAATACATCTTTAGATTGCTTTACCTTCTACTTCTGCTAAAGAAGTATCCTTTTTAGATGCGATCAAGTATAACTCGGTATAGTCGTATCCGTTATGATACACTCGGTTACCAGCAATCCAATAGTTGGTAGTTGATCGGGTATATATCTCCTTTGAGCTTGCCTTGTCAAAATCATCTTTGACTTCGAGCAGTTGCAAGAAGACATCATTCGTCATGGTCTTTTTTGTTAGAGTTGATTTCATGTTGAGCGTCGTGTTGTCGTAAAATAAGCATTTATAATGTTTACCAAGATTGAAGCTGCATATGGATTAGTTCCATTTTGTATATTATTATTATCTATATTACCTTTTTGCTTGCATCGTTGATATATCCTCCAAGATATTTGTTGTCAATGATTCTAAATCTTTATCAATTAGGCATTGTTGTAAGTCATGATAGAACAAGGCGTCAGTGATGAGGTCTTCAGATTCTACCGAGACGGGTAACAATAGATTCCATATCAAATTACTCTTATGCTTTTAAAATCTGTCAGACTCTTGTATGTACATAAACATGTAATATATATACTTTGTATGTAATCAAGTAATATTCATACAACTTGTTTTCTTGTTCTTGGTCTTCTTTATCTTTACTCAACAGATAGACACGAACCAAGTCTGTCTTTGTCACGATTCTTTCCTCTCCATTCATCCCGATCGCTGTTGATTCGACAAGGCCGGTCAGGAACATGCCTTGACTTTCACTGTTTGTAGTATTATTTGTAACGGTAGATTCTATGGACGGATTGGTTGAACTGACAGAGTCTGTTGACTTTGAACCCGATTGAAAGTAATTTAAAAAGTGCGCTGGTGACATTGTCTTGGTGATTGACTTTAGTCCAGATGTCTTTACGAAGATTAGTGTCTTTTGTTCTCATATCCAACTCTTTACCTTGGACTCCTTTTTCATATAATCCAATTTCATTTTCTCCGCCTTGACCTGTTTATCCACTCTCTTGATCACGTACTTTCTTAGGGCCTGTACGTCTTGTATCAATAACGAAGATGACTTGTAAACAAGCGATCCAGTTGAATAGTCGAGAATGAAGAGATGACAATGTCCAAACCGCTCAAGTTCTTGTTCGATCTCGTACACACGTAAGTAATTGTTCCGTTGTATTGACTGTAGAGGCACACCGTTAAAGACAGCGTCAAATGTCATGATATCTAATCTATCAAAGTCCCACTTCCATATCCATTCTGCAAAGAACTCTTCGATCATATGTGATAAGGCACGAGCGCGTTGTCGACTGAATTCACCATTTTCATAGAGAATCGATGCAAATGTACCATTCAATAACTATATATTCGTGATTATTTTTCAGCTCTAGTAGAGCTCACACTTTTTTTTTCTTTTTTACCTTGAACTGTTCATATCCAATCTTGAGCACCCCTTCCAACGCACGATTGTTTAGTTGGGAATCGAGGTATTCGGTCACAAGCTTTTCTTTGCCTTTGGAATTGATCTGTTTTCGAAGGATGCCAAGCTCGATGCACATGTGCATCCAGAAGCCCGGTTCAGGCTGAAAGAAGACCATTCGGTGCTTTTGAGAATGAACAGTTTGTACTGGATTTGAGGTTGGAAATGTCCTTTTAAAAGAGTCTATTTTAGTTTATACCACTTTACCATGATGTTCTCTTACGCTGCAAAATTAACTAAGGCTTGTGCCAGACCAACGTGTTTCATCTTGACATCAGGAGTCACGGTTGACTTGGCTGTATAATACAAGATCTGTTCATGTGCGCTTTCTTCGTCTGGGCCAAGTAATGGGTTATAGACGCAAAAATAAGAGAGAATAGGTGAACTAGTGCCTAGCTGATTTGTAGGTTCTGACATTAAAGAAAAGGGAGAAGAAGTGAGTTTAAATCATGTGCATAATAATCAAGTTTTTATTGTAGGTTGAGTGTAGTAAATAAAGTAAATCAATAGGAACAAGAGAACGATAAACGCCCAGCCACCGATGATAATATAAATCACCGTGACAGGACCTAGACTTCGTGCTGCGTTTGTATCGCTCAGGACAGCGACTAGGGTGGATGTCCAGAGAATACAGGTGAATGAAGCAGTTCGAAAGAAGTTGATCTTGTCGACATAACAAGGGCGTGTCTTGATGTTGTAGCAGATCATGGTCAACAAAATCGTGATGGATAAGATGGCACGCATTCGATTTACTTTGGTGGTTGATTCAACTAGCAAAAAGACAATGGCTAACAAAAGACCTACACAACGTTGTGAATATTTGATTTACTTTTCTTGGTTTTTGCTTACCCATGTTCTTAATAAAAGCCACACTGATAGATTTATAGGCAATCTCGTCTTTTGATGGTACTCGTTCATAACTCGTCAGAAAGATGGTGGTTAGAAAGTAAGCAAGAAAGTAACCAACGAGTGACAGCCAGAGATAGAGTTGTCGATTGATATCGGATGAGTGACAGCGAAGGGTTGTGCTGAAGTCATTGTCGGGTATATTTAACAATTGGCAAGCTGCTGAGCTAACAAAGGTTGTCTAGTATGATTAGTTAATAAAAAGAAGTTTTTTGCCTTGTTTCTTTGTTATTACTAAAATGGGTATATACAATAACGTCTATACATGAAAAAACAGGTTAAAACATAGAAAAGACAATGTAAAGCCTTCTTACAGCAACAGGTATAAACCATCGAACCCAACGAGTCGATATTCTATAAGGATAGATGGTATTGATGTAATGAATGATCAAGCCAAGGACTAGGCTGGAGCATGTCACTGCAAAAGCTGTCCAGAGTGAATAAGTATACCAAGCTGGAGTTCGCATGTCAGGCATCAACCCTCCTGCGTTCAGTATAAAGGACACAGCAGCCGACTTTCCTGAGACATAACCTGCCTGAGTAACGGTGATAAGATCTCGCAAAGGGAATGTCATGAGCTGGAAGAACTCGATGATCAAAATGGTGATCTGAACCCAGTTAGACCACATGGATGTATCCCAAGTGGAGAATCTGGTATCATAAACAGCATTGATGTGTTCGTCCTGATCGCCATAGAGTTTCCGCTTCTCCATGTAATAGCATCGTTGTCGAGTGATCAAGTAGAGGTTGATGGAGAGTATGAATACGAACAAGACAGCGTGTAGTAAACTACTGCCCTGTGAATTGACAGTACCGATGAGGATGATGAGAGAAATGAGAAAGGTCAAGATGAAAAGAAGTGAAAAGAGATGATAGAATTTAGCAGCATAAACTCTTTGATGTGAAGCAATAGGAATAGCATCTTGTCTAAAGGGTTGTTTAACAATTAAATTTTGCCAAAGGACAGTTGAGAGGGTTAAGAGGGGTATTCGAAAGGTTGTCTTTACTTGTGTTGATATGTTGTCTACGAGTAAATATATTTCTTGTTGTTGACTCACTTCTTGATCGCCCCTTTGATCTATCGGGACTTTATGCCATTCTGTGTACCAGAAATAGAAAATAAAAGAGATAAAGAGTAGAAAGATGATGGCAAAGAATAGCACGATTGATACTGTATTATTGCCCTGATGATCTGTGTATTGTTGTTGGTAGGATGCATATCCAATAGAACTATTCATAAGGAAAGAGAAAAAAAGAGAGAGAATGAAGTAATGTCACTCTTTAGGATATTTAATGATTTCCTTTAATGGCATCTTGTTTTTTATTTCTATATGTTGTGACAGTTGTGCGAGACAGAGGAGAGGAACAGAGAGAAGCAGACACAGAGAAAGAAAGGGTCTGAGATTATTTTTTCTTTTTTCTTAAATGAGTCATCGATCAAATAAGAGACACATCAACATGCCTTCAACAAGTAGTCATGGTGCGACCAATTCTACTCTTCAACCTTCAGTACCTGCCTTAACTCCAGCTCAAATGTATTCTAATTTTGAAGAATGGATCAAACTGTGCACAGATAATGTAATTCATAAAAAGGCACAATGTTTAACTTTATACTAAATCCTTCTCTTCTTTTTTTTTATAGAAAGTAAATGCAAGCAACACTTGGACATTTGCCTTGATTGATTATTTTCATGAAATGACCTTTCTTCGTGACGGAGACACCATCAACTTTCAAAAGGCCTCTTGTACCTTGGACGGGTGTGTCAAGATTTACACGTCACGTGTAGACTCTGTAGCGACAGAGACAGGCAAACTATTGAGTGGTCTTGCTGATAGCTCACGTATATATTAAACAAACAAGAAAGATGCCTTTATCCCTAATCCAATTTTGCCTAAATAGACGATAACGAAGATGAAGAACGTAAGGAAAGAAAAGTTCGACGAAAGGTATGCTTGTATTCATTTTTCTTTCTTGACCGACTGACACATTATTCTATATAAAGACGCAAAAGTCAGATGCAAGTTTGGTAAAGGATTTTAGTTCAATTTCACTCAAAAAGTTCGATTTGGATTTTGCAGTTGATCCCTTATTCAAAAAGACATCAGCTGATTTTGATGAAGGAGGAGCCAGAGGATTGTTATTGAATCATTTGGGCATTGATCGTCACTGTAAGATTATTTTTGATGCTTCGGATTCAACAGTGGACTGCGATACGGAAGACGAACAAGACGAAGAAGAAGAAGAGAAAGAAGATGAAATAGAGGATCCCATGGACGAAGATAAAGAAGATGAAAATAGAGAAGAGGATGGTGTAGATAATAGCGCAGAGAATAATCCAAATGATAATTCAAATAATGCAGATAATAGTAGCTCAGAAATCAAAGTTCAATTGCCAGACAGGTCTCACATGACAGAGATCTCCCGGTTAAAGTGTAACACATATTGCTGATATATGTTTGTGTGATATTGACTTTTTGGTACACTAGGTAAATTACCGAGTTTGGAACTTCTCGAGGAGTTACACATTGTACCTTCTCTCAAGGGATTTGATTTTTTCAATGACGATCTAGAAATACCTGAATTGCACAGTGATACAGAAGATCCATTTGAAGACCAACAACCAGAAGAAGGAAATGACTTTTTGAACTTTGATGATTACGACATCGATTATAATAACAATGATAATATGGACCCCTTCTTATTAAGTACAGGATTAGAGGACGATAATATTGGAAATGACGACCCAGAGCTAGATGAAGGCGAAAGAGGATTCCCCGAGAAGGATTACCTGAGCGCCTTACTCAATAATGAAAATCAAGACCTGTTTAACTATTTCGACAACACACTTGTCAAGAACTGGGCAGGACCTGAGCATTGGAAGCTACGAAAGGCGCCGACGACGACTACAACGACGACAAATGAAAAAAGAGCGATTACGGATATACAAGGAGGTAAGAGCATAGACTGCCTTTAAATAAAGGGGTATAATTTATTTATATAAACGTATATGTATAGAAGGAGGAGAAGACAGACCCAAGAAGAAGAGACAAGAGCAATTGATTGATTTTACTGCGTCTGATGAAGATGAAAATGAGAACATCATATTTGAACAAACAAACAAGAAGCTTACATTACCTACATCCATGATGAATAACTCATCTAAACATCTTTTACCAGACGATATCCATTTTTCATCAAAACAACTTCTTCAATACTTTTTGAAACCCATGTTTCCTGTAAGTCAAACAAAATACGAGGGAATGGTCTATTTGCTTACTTTGTTAATAGATTAATGCAAACAAGAAAAAGAATATCGATGCTACAGTCCCTCAAAAGACGTCAGAAGAACCCGATGCGAACTTTTGGGCAGAGCAGATGCAAAGTTTCGGAGACTATGATGTTGAATATGATAACGATGTTCCAGCAGATATGACGGATAATCCTGAACCAAGTAAGTAAAGGAAATTTTATTTATATATATAACATTTATTTATATATCTATACATGTACAATAGCTATATTGAGTGCTATAGAAGATTCATCTTTTTTCTATCAAGACGACTACTTACCTGATAGTCAATATGAGGATACGCCCGAGATTTATGGCGATACGTTGATTGCCAATCATATAAGAAAAACAGCTAAACCACTTTATGTAAATTATGCAAGACAGGCAAAGAGAGTTGATGTGAAAAAATTAAAGGATAATTTATGGAAGGCTTTAACTAACAATACGGAAAGAGTGAATGGAACACAAAAGTTTACAGATGTAGTAAATGATTTGAAAAAGATGTATTCACCCAAAGTCATGAAAGATATCTCCGTGCCATTCTGTTTTATATGCTTACTTCATCTAGCCAACGAAAAGGATCTGGTCATCATGGGTCATAATCAAGACGACGATTTCGTGCTGGGTGACGATATTTTAAATGAAGTTACCATTTGTCAAAGCGCCGTATCTCATGAATAAATAAATAAATTTCACCAAACATTTGGAATCAACATTATAAATGACACCTTGCTTATTTCATGTCAGCTTTATTCTATTGGTCCGATAATTTATATCTAGGACAATGACATCCCAATTCAAACTCAGAAGCCTCTAAAACAAAAGATGTGATCACTGAACAGGATGGCGCAATACTATGGTGTTTCTTAGCAACAAGTTGTCATGTTACATAAACCAAAAAGCTTAATAATATTTAAATAAACACACTTTTCCTATTTCCTTTTTCTTTTTTATACTACTTTCATCATGTCTTCAAAAGAAGATCAACTACCACAAAGACATGCCAGTGAAATCATTATTGACTATGAACCGGAATCATACAAACAACAGACACAAGAATTTTTAAAACAATTGCCTCATAACACAAAAGAATATGCCATTAGCTTATTTCCTATTATGACCTGGATACATCGATATAACTTTCATTGGCTAGTCCGTGATGTTATTGCTGGTCTTACTGTCGGTGTGGTCGTTGTGCCGCAGAGTATGGGTTATGCCAAGATTGCTCAACTTCCTCCACAATTTGGTTTATAGTAAGTTGAATGATATACTCATCACACTTTTACTTATATGATTAATTAATAGCACTGCCTTTGTCGGTCTTTGTGTCTATTGTTTATTTGCTACATCAAAGGATATCAGTATCGGTCCTACAGCTGTCATGTCACTCTTGGTCGGACAGACAATCACAAAAATCACAAGCGAAACACCTACGATCACCGGTCCCGAAATTGCTGTGACCATGTCTTTGTTGACAGGCGCTATTGCCATGTTCATCGGTCTTGTTCGTCTCGGTATTCTTGTTGACTTTATACCTGGTCCTGCTATAGCTGGCTTCATGACAGGATCAGCCATTACAATCTCCATCGGACAGTGGCCAAAGCTGTTTGGTATCAAGGGCATCAACACACAAGACTCAAGCTATCTTATCTTTGGAAACTTTTTCAAAAACTTACCAAATACTAAACTGGACGTCGCCTTTGGCCTTAGCGGTCTCGTCTGGCTTTATGGTGTTCGTTATGGCTGCCAGTATCTCAGCCGACGCTATCCCAAGTACTCGACGACATTTTTCTTCTTTAGCATCATGCGAAACGGTCTTCTCATCATCTTTGCCACATTGATTGCGTTCTTGATCAACATTGGCAAGACGACAAGTCCCATTAGCATCCTCAAGACAGTTCCTGCTGGATTTCAAGCTATGGCCGTACCTACCATAACAACAGACAGCATATCATCCGTCGCGAGCTCACTCCCTTCTGGTGTAATTATTCTTATTCTTGAACATGTGGCTATTGCAAAATCATTTGGTCGTATAAACGATTACTCAATCAATCCTAATCAAGAGATCGTTGCCATCGGTTTTACCAACGTCTGGGCATCCTTCTTTGGTGCTTACCCCTCAACTGGTTCTTTCTCTCGTACTGCAATCAAAGCAAGATCTGGTGTCAAGACACCCATCGCCGGTATCTTTTCTGCACTGGTTGTTGTTCTCGCACTGTATGCACTGACGCCTGCTTTCTACTATATTCCCGATGCCAGTCTTGCTGCCGTCGTGATACATGCAGTATCCGACCTTGTTTCTGGACCTGATTATATCAAGCGTCTTGCTCAAGTCTCGCTCTGGGAACTCTTTGTCTTTGTTGCCGGTGTTGTCATTACCTTCTTCACCACGGTTGAATATGGTATCTATGCCGCCGTTGGTCTTTCCTTCATCATTCTTCTCTTCCGTATCGCCCGTCCTCGGTTCTGGTCTCTTGGACGTATTCCTTTATCAAATACTTCGACAACTTATGACAAAAAGCAACCTTTAGATTACGCACAAAGCTATCTCTATGTGCCTCAAGACCACCCATCACTCGGTAAACTGGTCGAAGAGCTGCCCTCAGGTATTCTGATGTGTCGTATAGACGAAAGTTTGACGTACCCCAACTCGGCCTATATCTCTGACAAGATCATTGCTTACTGCAAGGAACACACTCGCCGCCATTCTCAATCCATCAGCAAGGGTGATCGTGCATGGAACGACGACTCAAACCCCGCTCGTGATGCTGCTCGTGCCCAACTACCTCGTCTGCATGCGTTGATCATTGAATGTAGCAGCGTCAATCGTCTAGATTCAAGCGGTCTTCAGGCCATTGTTGATGCTCAAAACGCGCTCAACCGATACGCTGGTCATCATGTCGAATTCCACTTTGCAAACATTACTAACCTCTCTATTCGTACTTGTCTGATCGCTGCTGGGTTCGCTAATCAACCTCGTTTTGGTCTGGATGAAGATAATCTTGGTCCTCGTGAAATCTTGCCTATCGTACCTGCTTCCAAGGATGGCCCTCTTCAACGTCAGCAGACTGCTTCTTCTAGTAGTGATGAAAGTGTAGAACATGTTGAGACACACTATGACCAATCCAAGTTCTCAGATGCTGAGAGTGTCAATACTGCTCACTCAATTCCTTTACCTCGGGACAAGTATCCTTTCTTCCATTGGAGCGCGGATGAAGCGGTTAAAACGGCACAAAAGACACTCGCATACAGATCAGTCGAACTTGAAGAATAGATTACGTATATACCTTTTTTTTTTGCATCCTTTTCTTTTTAATATTTATTATTGTTACATAATACAACATACAATAACTTGTATAAATAAAGTTTTATTCATCATTTATTATTCTGTTCTACTTTACATTTGGAATAAGATTATAAAATAACATCTTGGATATTCCATAAAGAAGAACATATATGCTTTCTCTTTTCCCGTGACATTTACTTAATATTCATCCTATTTATTTAATAAATCAAACTAATGTTACAAATTAATCATCCCATTCACTGCCGTCACTGTCTGATTCATCATCATCTGACAAGATGGCCTTTTTACGGTCATTGAGTGCAGCAATCAAGCTGGTTGCCAAGTCGCCTCCCTTTGCATCGGTTGTACTTGTAGTTGCTGCCGCTGGTATGCTTCGGTCTCGTTTGACTTCTGTAGGCGTATTGCGAAGAGCCTGAATGCCTCCTGCAGCTCGAATAGATTCAAGCAAAGCGTTGCGCGAATCACCAGGAGGTGGTGACTGGTTGGCATTAGCGGAAGAAGGAGGGGGAGCAGGAGCAGGAATGGGTGATGTTTGAGCAGGAGGAGGAGTAGGAATGGATGATGCTTGAGCAGGAGGAGCAGGAGGAGCAGGAGGAGCAAGAGGAGGAGGAGGAGGAGGAGGAATATGCGATGTTTGAGCAGGAAGGGGTGGCGGTGGCGGAGGCGGTGGAATAGCAGCTTGGGCTGTACTTAAAGTGGTTTCAACAGGAGATACTGCTGAATATTCATCATTTGCTGGTGTAAATGCTGGAAGAGTTGATATACTAGAAACATCTAATGAGCTCGTTGACGTTTGTCTTGTTGAAGGTACAGGTGGTGGTGCTCTTCTAATAGGAGGTGGTCGATTGACTGGAGATGCTTCATGATCTTCTGTCGCTTCTGGGAACGGGAAAGCTGGTATTGCCGATAAGGCAGGTTGATCATTATCATTCGCCAGCATCTTGTAAGGGTTATTTGACTTTGTAATGCTAGGTGATCGACTAGGCTGACTAGATGGCTCTGGCTGTTTGCGTATAGGTGGAGGAGGCGGTGGGAGTGAAGGACGTGTGATGGTAGTTTCCTGTATTGCTTTTTGCGAAAAATCGCTTTCAGTCGTTTTTCTCGGAATGGGAGGAGGGGGGGCTGGAATTGATGATCGCGGTACTGCCATTCGCGTTGAAGGTCGCATAGGTGGTGGCGGGGGCGCTGTTCGACGAGAAGGGGGTGGTGGAGGCGGTGGACGACGACCTACAGTCAGAAAATATAAGTCTTATTTGCAACAAAAACGGTTTCTCTCTTTTACTTACCACCAACAGAGGCTATTTTTCGAGGAGGAGGAGGTGGGGGCCGTGTCTTTTGGTTTGACGAACGGGGAGGAGGAGGTGGTGGTTGTGGCCGCTGTTGACTGAAACCGCCTCGTTTACTGACAAAATCTTGAATGAATTCCTGATTGTCGTTGATTTCCGTCGTTGTAAGTCCCAAATCCTTCAATTGATCAAAGAAACCGTTCCATTCGGGACTTGAGTTCTGAACACTGAATCCCTTGCTGGGAGTATAGCCGATATGCCCTAGATGTCTATGATTGTCTTGTATAAACACGCGTATACATCACACACACACACGTTTCTTACCTAAATTCAGACGGCAGACCAATCTGAGATTTATCCAGTTTCCCTTTTGGCTTCTTGCCGCTTGTTTCTAGTGAACACATGTATGTTAACTCAATAACGTAAGTTGACTCATGGATTTACCCTTTTTCTTCTTGTGCGAATGGGTTTCTCTTGAATTCAGCTTGTTGAAGAATACATCTGCGTCGTCTATATCTGCAAATGAGAGGCCAGCCATGTATTCCTAGTTATACATGTATAAGTTTTTGTGTATATGTATTAACTTTGTCCTTATTTTTACATCTGCAGCAAAGGAGTAAAAGAAAGGTGTATGCTTGTTAAGTTCAAATCCATCATAAAGTTCTTGTTCCCATATGACGCCCTTGTGATTCTTACGTTCCTTTTTTTAGTTTCTTTCTCTTTACATTTGTTTCTTTGTTACCATCAAGTCCACCATTCGAATATAATAGGATCGAGTCTTTTTATCTTTTAAAAATGCAATTGCTCCCCATATATTTGAGTATGCCCATCTATTAGGATTAGGATAAGCAACATATAAACGTGCAACAGTGGCCGCATATATTTTCTACAAGATGTTAAGCTAAGCTTTTAATTTCGGTAAAGAAACACTTACAGCAGTTGGTAATGCACGTCGTACTTTGTTCTTATCTTCTGCTGTCGATAAAGCAATTGAAGGCATATTTAGAAGAAAAGAAAGGAGTGTATATTTTTATAATTCCTTGTGAAGCATTGATAAATTGTCTAAATAGTCACGTGTATGTTCTGTCTATGCGTGCTTCATTTACAGAGTGCTACGTGCGAATTGATAATGGCTCAGATTGCCTTTTGTTTGCAACACTGTCTATGCACTCTTATGTTTACTATTTTTATGTTGGGGAGGGGTTTGTTGTCAGTGGGGCCAATGACAGATCCTTAACTCTCTGCTTACACATAAAATTGGTATGCCGACAAAATCTCGTTTTCTTCCTTTTCATTACAGAAAATGTCTCCTGTTATCATTATTACAGGCGCTTCTCGTGGCATCGGCAAAGCAGCAACCTTGCAAGCATTGACAAAATTTAACGCTCAAGTTGTTGCAGTTGCTCGAAGCAGTGACGCGTTAAAAGAACTTGCGGACGAGGTTTCAAAGGAACATCGCGATCGACTTGAACTTGTTGTAGGCGATGTGACTAAAGAAGAAACAGCCAGGAAAGCAGTTGAACGCGCCATTGAAAAGTTTGGTCACTTGGATTCAGTCATTGCAAATGCTGGGTAATATGAAAATCACATACAATTATATATTGTCCTAATGCTTCTCCATTGTAGCGTCCTTGAGCCAATAGCTACTGTTGCTGAAGGTTCTGTTGAAGAATGGAAGAAGTAATTTACATAATTTGGAAAAACAAAAAAAATTAAAATAGCCCATAGATTGTACGATGTCAACGTGTTCTCTGTCATTACACTTGCTCAAGCTGCTCTTCCTCATATCAGAAAGTCTCAAAAAGGTTCCATCGTCATTGTCTCGTCTGGTGCAGCCATGAAGGGCTACAGAGGATGGGGTGCTTATGGAAGGTAACAAAAAAAATGACCTTGATAATCCCTCATTATAAATTTATACTTTATAAAAAACAGTTCAAAGGCTGCTGTCAATCATCTTGCAAGCACATTGGCAGTGGAAGAAGAAGGCGTTACCACTATCGCTCTCCGTCCAGGTGTAGTGGATACGGATATGCAAACAACGATTCGTACCTCTGGTGAGAAAGCTATGGGACAAGATCACGCTAAATTTGTTCAACTTCACAGTCAAGGAAATTTAATTAAGCCAGAAACGCCTGGCTATGTCTTGGCTGCATTGGCTAATGACCCTCCTAAAGAACTGTCTGGACGGTTTCATAGTTGGGACGATGAGCAATTGAAACGTTTCCAGCCATAAAAAAATAAACCTTTTTCGAATACTTTTATTTTATTTCTTTATCGACTTTGAACCAAATCGTCAATCTTCATGATCATCTTGACAGTTTCGGCAGATAATTCGAGAGCACTGGAGGTAACTAATAGTGGCTGAACAACATTTTCATCCAAAATATTGGAAATGGTGCCCTTTTTGACGTTAATACCAGCTGTCTTTTCACCCAAGGCGTGCTTATTTCTGAGTTCGGTGACAATAGCAATTGGATTTAAACCTGCGTTTTCTGCCAAGGTAGTAGGAATGACTTCAAGTGCTTCGGCAAAGGCCTGGAAACAGTATTGTTCCATTCCGGTTAATGTCTTGGCGTATTCCATCAGTTTTTGAGAGACCTCAATCTCAGGAGCACCACCACCAGCTATCAAGAATTTCTTCTTTACCAAGCATCGAACGACACACAAGGCATCATGCAATGAGCGATGAGATTCTTCGAGAACAAGCGAGTTTGCGCCACGACAGATGACCGAGACCGTCTTTCCAGCGTGTTTCATGCCCGTGACTTTTATGATACGAGCACCAGCATTCTCTGATTCTTCTATAAGATCCGCATAACCCAACTTGTCATCTGTGAAGGACTCAATGTCTGCTACGGGCTTGCATCCGAGTGATTTAGCAATAAATTCAATTTCGTCACGTTCGATATCCTTCACAACCATAATCTTCAATTTAGCCAAGAAATGAAGAGCGAGATCACTCACAGCATCTCGCAAGATTGATTTCTGAATGAGAAGTACATTACAGCCACTCTTCTTAATCTTTTTGCACATATTCAAAAGGTATTGACGTTCTTCTTTCAGGATCTTGTCCATTTGTCTATAATCATTAACAACAATTTGATTCTCCATATCTGGCTTGGGAGGTGACAGCTGGAACTGGATAAGACCAATCTTTGCCTTTTCAACACGGCTGGGACCACCTGCAGAACGAACAGAAGTCTGGTTGAGGACGAGGCCATCGACGAGTTCGGTATCATCGATTGTGCCGCCTACTTTCTTGACAACACGGATATCCTTCAAATTGACATTGTTGGCAATAGCTGGGTCAATAACACGAACGACTGCATCTACAGCAATAGGAGCCAACAGTGTAGAATATTGGGAGACAATCTTGGAGTTGAGAGATGTTGAAGCAGCTCGTAAAAGGGAATTACGATCACTTAGATCCACAGGTGTAGCCATCTCTGTAAGGAATTCAACTGACTTTGCGGCCGCTCTTTGAAATGATTCGGCAATAATGGTGGGGTGAATACCTTTGTTAAGCATCTTTTCTGCTGCTGTCAATAAGGAACTACATAATACTACAACAGAGGTTGTGCCATCGCCTGCTTCAACATCTTGAGCAGCAGATAAATCAACAAGCTACATAAATATCATTAGCACACAAGGGAAAGTAAAACAATAAAGAAAGGGTACATGCCATTTTAGCAGCTGGATGGAGAACAGCCATGTGCTTGAGAATAGTAGCACCATCATTTGTGATGACAACTTCGCCGTTACCAGTTTGAATCTATATTAAATATTAAGTTTCGACATTATTAAATAAATTAGTAAATATAATCACCATCTTGTCCATTCCTCGAGGACCTAAGGATGTACGGATGGCGTCTCCAACAGCTAATGTTCAAATCAGTTAATACATCATATACGCGCATATTCAAGAGTTAAAAAGATGTACCTTTGGCAGCAATAATGTTAGACATGCGAACTTCCATTGGCTTTTCTCTATCTTGGAACTTTCCGCCTTGTGAAGCTGCTGATGGTTTTGCTACTTGTGCCATTGTGATTACTGGGGAAATAAAAATATGATTAAAAAATTTTAGAGAGAAAATAAAAGAAAGGAGAGGAAGATGGAGTTTAAAATGCTTCTATTTGACATTGTACTTTTCGAGCATAATAACGCGAGTTTACAACGTGTTTTTAGGTAGTCCATATTTTCACTTGCTCGGGCTAAAAAAACTTTACTATCAAAATGATGATCTATTTGCTTATAAATAAGAGAAAATCGATCAACCCAACAGACTAGGATATAATAAGGATATTTCACTGTAGTCTGGATATGGTCAGAGACTTGATTTTTATGCAGTACATTATACATCATGATTAAAAGATAGCATGAAAGGGCTGGGTGGTGTCATTTTGTTGACTGATAATAAGGTGAAGGGGAATGTGCATACCGCATGCATACAAGATTATTGAATTTTGTTCATACATCTGTATTTATAATTTGTGCAAAGCAGGCACATGATCCATTTCATATGATACTAACCAATGAGACTACACTCATCTTCATAATAAATATATGGCTACTGTCGAATTAAATCTTTTATACGCTTTTAATGGGGTTAGTATTTGGTACACACTATATACGCGACATAGTTGATATGTTCAGTGATATAAAACTATAATACATGATGACTCGCATATAAACCTGCAGGTAGGAAACAAGATATAGCATCTCATAGTAGGCGCAGTGAATTAGCTCTTGTTACATACGGTAGAGACATGGTAAGCCTTACATTAATACTAGTAAAGTATTAGCATATCGTACAATCACAGTATAAATAATTAAACAAAGAAGGATAGAGAAGGAATGATAAAGTGCTTGTCCAGATCCGTCTTATCATCTTGTTTCAAAACCAAAGGATAAGCGGTTGCTGATGAAGGTACTGTATTTTTATTAATTATTGTCGTAAAATAAAAAAAAAAATTATTTACGTTTGAATAAAACGACATCATGTCAAAAGAGAGAGAGAGATAATGGGTGTATGTAGAAAAAGTATGTTAGTATTAGAGCACATATCCTAATATTAGCTTTACTTACCACCAAGGTGCATTCTGGGGAGGGCGGCGATAACTACCCAGGATTGTTTAAACAAAAAAAAAAAAAGGAACGGAGGACTGAGAGAACCCAGAGCAAAAGAAGAAGCAATTGGGAGAACGTTCCAGATACACGCCAGAGAGCAAGAGGGCGGGACAAGCGAGTCAGAGCAAGGACCATGAGGACAGACTAGTTTTGATTGGTGAATCTTTGAACACTCAGAGGGACGCTTGATAACTGCTGTGAAGAAGCAAAAAAAAGGACTCAATTAAAATGGGTTTTTATATGTTCTTCTTTTTCAAATAGGTTTCAGGATTGGATATTTAGGACAAAGAAATCATGTCAAATAGAAGCAATCTGCTTCGTGACCATTCAAGAATATGCATTGCCAAATATGACTACATGTTCTTCTGATTTTATGGAAAAACCGAATAAAGAATTTAAACTTTTACAAAGAGACTAAAGAGGGCTATTTATAATATTCAGTTAATTTTAACTCCAAGATAACCCACCTGTTAATATTGCTGTCAAATGGGATAGTGAGCCATATTCTTTTTGTATTTGTTATTACTCTGATAGCATTACAACGGTTTCAATACGACATCTCAATTTGGAAATACAGTATATCCATGGATGTCAAGGCTGGTGCTATGAAAATATTCTTGTCGACGACAAATTTACATTTCGTACAGCATGAATTTTGTTCTCACCATTGGGTGCATTTATTTTCGATCACAGGCGAAATTACTTTCCGGAAAGAGTATATAACTGTATTTTTGAAGGGTATTGCTACAAGCAGTGATAGCCTGTATGCATACTATTTTATGTCGTCTATGCAAATGCAATAATATCTAAGGTTAAGGCCTACTGATTTGATGCTACATGTAAGGGTTGATATAAGACGCAGTATCGTCATAATTACACGTGAGTGGTCTTGGCTCTTTGTTGATGGAACTGACCACATACAGTCATTCCAAAAAGTAAAGTCGGGCAAAAAAATTTGTCGGTTGATCCAAAAATAAAGTCGGTATTTACTGATGTTTATTTTTACTTGTGAAGATTTAAAACAAGAATGGAAAGAAGAGAATTTCAATGCTTCGCGTTCGTTTTGCACATACACATATGGAAGTATCGGGGGATAGGATGAAGCTAGTTCATTGGTATTTTCTACTAATTCATGAAGACACACTAATGAGAGCATGTCATCCAGGTGGGTAATAATTGATACAATATCTCTTTTCACCAATGGTATCTTAATCGACGTAACTTCCAGGAATATAAAAAAATCAGCACGGGGAAGCATGTAGTAAAATGTAACAAGTGATCCTAAATAGCAAGAACATAAAGTTAGCGTGAATAAGCTCATTTCCAATACAGTAGGTCCATTACCAATCGTTTGGAAGCAAATAATTCCATTCAGATTATGACTTTCAATTGTATTTCTTCCAAATATTGCTAAGCAATAAAAATCCAAGATCTTCAATGTGTCATTTGCTTTTTTAATCTTGATTTCTCCAAAACAACTTGAATATGCATATTGATATCGTTCATAAACATCGACTATGTAGTCAGGTCTTTTGCCAGTGGTATCATCAACTTCAGGAAGAGTGTTTGATCTTAAAAATCAGATCAAAAAATATTAAAAAAATTGGTCATAATGTAAAAAGGTCATGTTTGGGTAAAGGCTTGAATGTAATTTGAATTATAAAAGAGTTTCTGTCGCGTGACTACCAGATCTTAATAGATCAAAAGAAATAACTTGCGTTATATAAAAATAAAAGTAAAGATAAAAGTGAATCCTACTGATACGAGGCTTCAAAATAAGCGTATCGGTAGTTGAGAGTGTTAAAAGAAAAGTAAAAGTATAAAAGGATAATAAAAAGTACTTTAAAATATCAGATGTATTAGAAAGTAAAAGTCTTCAAATAAAAGAATATAAAGGTGAGTGAGTTATACTGAGAACAGAATTAACTGATCACTAACTAATAACTAGCTGATAACTAGCTGATAACTAGCTGATAACTAACTTTTTTTTTTTTATTTAAAAATATTGAATGTATTTATACTAAAATAATTTATAATTCATTTGTTTGAACTTCATGAGGAACATGAACTTCATACAAGTCGTGAAGTTCGTCTGCCTCATGAAGTTCGTGAGGGTCACGAAGTTCATCCGTTTCAACTCCGCTATTGTTACAATAATTTTTGACTTTTACCAGTGAGACACCTTATTGTTGCAAGCAATGGAGAACAAACTTTGCATGACAGGATGGACATATGACGCCGCTAAATGGTTTTCGGAAATTGTACGAAGATCAACATCTGTCATTACCGGGATCCTAAAGGCAAACAGGCAGATATGTTAGCAAAAAAGTACATACAGCTGGCATGGAATACTCACAAAGATTCCACGGCAAGCACAACGTTTCTTTCCGGATCAGTTAGCTTTTCTGCAAGTGAAATCAGATCATGTCGAGTCTTCGGACCGTCAATTTCGTCACTGCGGTATGCCTATGAAGATAAAAATAAAATAAATGAATTATCAAAATATATCAATTATGAAAAAAAAAAAAAAAAAGATTACCAAGAGCGTGTCCTTAATTCGTGTTGACGTTTCTGCATTCATTACTTTCCTAGCATTCAATTCTCGTAATAGTTACCGATGCATTTCTTTAAGAAGACTTGACGAAAAGTATTCAGAAGGTATACTTTGATAATCACTTCTTTGTTGCAACACAAGAATTGATGAGATTGCCCTTCAAAAAAAAAAGTTAGACAATCCCAAGAATGAATAATAAAAAATCTTACAAGATTTGATTAAAAAACTCATCAATGTTCACGTATTTCGAATTATTTTGAAGACAATGCGCGCGAAAATTGTGAAATTTTTCGACTACGCTTACTCCATGAATATTCCAATCACTTGTGCACGTTTTTAAGTTTTGTTGGCTAAAAAAATAATTATAGAGCTTGTAAAAAATGAAGTTGACTCGAAATTTCACTTACAAAACATTGTGCTGTTCATCAACATGTGTTTCAAGTGCTGATTTATTGACAAACAAATCACAACAGCATGGGCAAGTTAGCTTCACCGGGATAGATGGATATTTCTCGTGCAAAGCTTTTGTATATTTTGTCGAATTCTTAGGAGGTTGATCTCCTCTTGAGCGTGATGGTAACAAAATGGAATGTTTGCGTTGACAATGACGTTGTATATTTTGAATCTTTTTAAAATATTCTTCATCATCGCAATATGGACATGTCAATTTTGTGAGCAGTGCTATTGTCATAACAAAAGACGAAACAAAAAAAAGTGTTCTCTCTTTTTCCCCATAACCTTGATTTCTCAATCTCGTCGGGGGTTTGAAAATCTTGTACTTACACAAGTTCACTAGGCTGTCAAAAGTCTCTGGTTGCATATCACATTAATGTATCACTTTGATTAAAAAAAAAAAAACAAACATTTCGATAGTGAAATTGATGGACAAACGATGAAGGTGGTGGTAATGTGTCTTTTTTTTTTGTTTCGTGTCATCTTTCTATAACCTCTCCTTGTTGAAGCACTTACCAAAACATTTGGCAGAATGAGAAACAAAGCCTTTGAAATCGCTTAAACATAAGCTATCACAAGCCTCACCAATTCTTGCCATTAGTGATTCTTTTTCCAGAAACTTATTTCGCTTAACTTTACTCTTGACAACGGACCAAAATTGCTCAATTGGATTCAATTCAGGAGAATACGGAGGAAGATAAGCGTATCGATATCCTCGAGAGTGAAGATACTTGCCTATATCCGTTGAACTATAGATAGGAGCATTATCCATGACAAGGTAATGCCCCTTCGTTTTTGGATACTTGTCCATTTCATCAAGAGTAGCCTCCAAAAAGCTCAAATAATGCCCTGTCACTGTTCCTGTACTGTAAGTATTCGTCTCACTCCCAAGCTTTCTCTTTTTGATGCGCTTTGGAACTCTCAAACTAATATTAATCAGACCAGTGGCGGATATGGCACCTAAAATCGATGTTGTATTCGCCTTGGTTGTAGGAACTGTACTATTGCAGGGGTTCCTTTCTTTGATCAAGCCATACCTCGTTTTAAATTGGTGTGAAAGGCTGATTCATCAAGAAAGACGCAATTTGTTGTGAAATCCAAGTCAGTTTGCTGCCACTTTTGGACCCAATCGTACCGTTGCTGAATTTTTTCCTCGCTATTCCCTTCCACTGGCTGGAACTGTGCCTGCTTAATAGAAAGATTACACTGAGTTGTCATGAAATTGTAAACTGTACTACGAGAAACATTAAGATCTACAAAATTTTGTTTCAAATTTTCTACCACTTCAGTTACAACAGCAGATGGATTGTCATCAATGTAATTTAAAAGGAATTCCTTATGTTCCTCCCCGAGAATACGACGCCGACCTAATCTCTTCTTTTTCTCGAAAATGCTTTCAGGATCTTCGCGATAACGTCTGACCCATCGCTGGGCCACACGAACATGAATACCTAATTGTCTTGCAGCTGCAGCTGCACTTAAGCACTTATTAAAAAATAAATGAAAAAATCTGGTTTTCTCGTCAGAGTAAAATGTGTATCGTCGCCTATTGGATAACTCCATTGCAACATCTTCACTATCCCCTTCAGCTGCAACTGGAGGCATCGTATGAATATATCTCTCCGGAGGTTTATTCATTAGAAATTGAGTACGAGAACTTATTGTTTCGATAGCAAATAGCTCTTCGTCAACAACAAGGTCCATAGGCTCAACTCCATTCTCATCAACAACACGCCCTTGTCCATCCTCATAAAAAAATTGCATACTCATTTTTAATGGTTGTTAAATAAATTGTAGAGAAGAAAAAAAGGAGGAAAGAAACGTGCCGCCTTTAAATAAAAAAAAAAAAAAATGCCAAGAAGCGCTCTCTCTTGACATAGCTAACTACCCAAACAAGGCTACCGTCAACGCCGTCAACAATAGTGTGGCAGTAGACCTTGAAAGGGCAGTTAATTTGCTGTGACATCTTCTTGTGTGGCATGAACTGCTTTCCTTCTACTGATTGCAAAACTTTTCCTTCTTCATCAACAATAAAAGCTTCACCAACGGAAAGGTCATCCTTGCGAACAAGATCGGCCTCAGTGATAACCTTGCAGTTACGAGGATTACCAAAATGGCGGCAATCCATGTAAAATGCTCTGTTATTAACACTGTTGGTTGTTCCAAGAACGAGGGTTTCGCTTTATATACGAAGCTTGAGAGGTTTTCTTATCTCATCATAGTGAAGAGCTCCATTTCTTTAATGAATTCAAAGGTGATTCCAATAGCATTTTTAATAATGGACATGTTTAAACTTTGGTAGCTTTAATAAAGATTAGAAAAAAGAGAAGAACTATGTTGAGCAGTGCAGTCCGTGGTATAAGTACCGTATGATGTGTTTAGGGGACCGATGAAGCTGCTGTGTGCCTGGTGCTTAATAATACTTGTTGTGTAAATTGAAAATGTTGTGCAAATAGCAAAGCTTGTATTTTTGCGTGTGTGTAGTGGTTCTCATGCATATGCACTCTTCAGCGTCTAGAGTTAAGAGAATCATTATCCAAAAGAAAGCTGTTTAACGTATACTACAACCATATAGAGAATAGTAATAAATACAAGTAAACATAGAATGGAAATATCTGTTTGTGGACTACCCGCGCCATGCAACAGTAATAAATTACTACCACAAGGAGGAGGAATTTGTCAGAGCAGGGATAGCTCCCCAGTCGCA